CTGGGTGAAAACTCCAGGCATTTTGTTGGCATGGACGGAGCTTGGCTAGGAGGCTTCACCGGCCTGTGTGTGCAGAGGGCTGACTGAGCAGAGATAGGACAAGAAAGCTCAGGAAGTTTGAAGGGCACCGAGGGTTGGCAGGAGCCAGGGCTGAAGTCTGGAAGTTCTGGAAGTTCTGGAAGTTCCTGGAAGGGCAGAGTTAACAGGAGGATTGAGGGGACCCGGGAAGAGGCCGTGGCATTAAGCGGACGGACGTTTGACAGAGAAACATCTTCAAGCGAGAGAGGAGCTGAAAGGTGGAACAGGTTTCGTGTGGGCTCGAGACCCAGCACCAGTGTCCCCCACGGTCCCTGCTCCCCAAGGGGCCTTCCTGGCGGGGCACTACACCTGACCTCATTTCAACCCTTGATCAGAACTCGGGACATGGAGCCTGTGTCTAGGGATGTTGGGTTTGGAGCTCCTTCTGCGAGTGTCTGACCACAGGCCATGTAAGATCACCCTGCCTGGCCCCCAGCCAGAGCTCGGTTGTGTTCTAGAACATTCTGGGATAACATACGCGTGGATGGCCCACCTTCCATGTTGGATCAGATGGTTCACAGTTTGGAGAACACGGTTCTGTCCAAGGCAACTCGTCGATATTTAAAACTTGCGTTGCTGGAAATGTGGTTTTCCTGGGTTGAGTCAAATCTGCCTTTCTGATGTGGCTGACCATTTGGGTCCTGCTTTCTTTCGTCCTCTGCCTTGCACAGAATAAGCTAGATCTCTTTTGGACATAACCGTTCCTCCAGTGCCAGCAGGTAAACTGTGGTTGCCGTCGTGATGTTCCTATCGTGTGTCCATCGTGCGTCTTGGCCACTGCTGGAAACAGACACACTCTGTCCTTGAAACAACCCTATTCACTGATTATCCCGTTCCCTGGATGGGCTTGGGCGAGGTCTTTAACCCTTAGTCGTGGGCTTCGCATAGTCTCAGGAGTCCTCCCTCCCGGAGGGACCTGGGCACCTCTCCAACCTGTGTCCCATTAAGTATGTTGTTCACCTGCGCCTGGGAGGTCACGCACGTCCTCACCTGGGCGGCTGCTTTCGTCCAGGGGCGCTCGCTCTCAAATTCCATCTTACTCATTTGGCCTCCGGAACTCAAAAAATATCAGAACGCTTGTAAGCTACAAAACTTAGCTTGGAAGAAAGCAAACGAGCAAAAAGGACCCGACCTAATTCCTGCTCTAAAAAGTTTGCAGTGGGACGATGAGGCATTCAAAGAATGAATGAGACGATGAGGCATTCATAGAAAAACGGGGAAGACGCTGGCAGTGCCTCTCCCGGGTGATGTCTCTGTCTGTCTCTGTCTCTGTCTGTCTCTGTCTCTCTCGTTCCCGTGTGAATCACTGCTCAGGCCTTCCGTCCGATTGTCTCATACTTGTTTGCGTGGAAGGGTTGCTTAGCCCCACCACTGTCCCCTAACTGACGTCTCACTGCACTTTGCATCCGCGACAGGATATGAGAGCATCTTTTCGTATGATATCATGTTGGGCCATGGTTGAGACATAAGGGGTGTTCAGGGGTCACTTGTTTATTGGATAGGGAGTGTGTTGGTGTTGCTTGCTTTGGAGTTTGAAGGAGGGGCGCGGGGGTCACGAACGGTGGGGCCTCGTCATCCTGTCACGCCCCATCACACCCCCAGCATCTTGAAGGTGCCCTCTGGGGCTCCGCGCAGCTGCAAATGCTTGAATGGTTGTGTGCTGTGGGATCCGCGGGGATGAAGGTATGAGGAAGACCCTGGGCCCCCAGATGGGAGTCCGGATCTATGAGATTGACCTCGTTTGCATTGGTTTGCTGGTTTTCAAAATACAGCAATTGCTTCCTGAGATCCCCAGAGAAAAGACTTGTGGTTGGAAATAGCTTCATCATGTCGTGGGGCACAGGCAGGATGTCACCGCACGGTCCTGCCCTGGCCGCACAGGTGCTCGGGGATGACTCAGCTCTCTGAGAGCCCGGAGTGACCGAAACTGCCATGTAGTGTTGTGTCGTGTGACTCAAGTGGGCCACTTTGTCAGTGCTGGTGTGGGAGCAGGCGGAGGGTGAGGAGGGATGAGGAACTTTGTCACACGTTTGCTTTCTTGCCACGTAGGAAGAGCCCTTTGTAGTGGCTTACTCTGCGGAATCAGGGACGGTCATCCGTGTCCTCTAAGTGACAGGAAAGAGCATTTGGGTGACGGCGTCAAGCTCTCAGATCTTGGCTGCCTTGTTCTGCTCAAAACCCGGTTGCAGAGATGGGCTTTACTGCGGGAATGCCTGCGGTGTGGTGTCTGTGTGTTTTGTATTGTGTGTTTTTTGGACACACGACGTTATTTCGGTAAATGCCTGTTTTGAAAAGGAGCCCGACCCGGTGTGGCTCCTGGGCCTGTCAGACGGCGGTGGTTCTCGCAAATCCGGTTCCAAAGGGAGGCACGTCCCCCTTCCTTGTTTCTTGGCCAGAGAAATTACAGGCAGCATGACTCCCATCTCCTGTTCCAAAGTCCACGGGGGCCCATCTGGACGCATTGGGTGTTTCTGGCTCTGAGGTTTTGTGGGCTGTGGGATCTGGACGAGATGGGATTATCCTGTGACTACTTCTGGGTCCTGTGGCTTTTATGGGACAATCTATGGCCGTAGATGCCTGTGCCCCTTCCTTCCCCGGCTTCCTGGTCTCTCACTGTTAGGGATCGCGCACGAATAGGAAGCGCGGATTTCAAGCACGGCTGGATCAGTCCTTTCAGAGGGCTCCTAAACTGGAACGCGGCCAGGGGATCGAATTCTCATTTCCTGAAACGTCACCCAAACCTAGAACTGGTGAGATAGTGCTGAGGTGGGGGCAGGACGCTTTGGAAAGGAACTTCCGGGACATGCTACGGTTTTCTGCCCCGCGGGGACCAGCGTGGACTGGGGGTACCGCCTTGATGGCTGTAAGGAGCAGACATGGGACAGGTGTATTAGTAGATGAGGACCTTTTCTTTCCTCATACCCAGAAGGGTGTTGACCTGTTATTTAAACTTAAAAAAAATCTCAAAGCTGTCAATATGAACTCATTCTTTTATTTTTTTAAATTTCTTGATTTTTTTGAAAAAGACTTTAGTTCTTTATTTGACAGAGAGAGAGATTGCGAGAGAGGGAGCACAAGCAGGAGTTGGAGAGGGAGAAGCAGGCTTCCCACTGAGAAGGGAACCCAACGCAGGCTCGGTGCCAGGACCCTGAGATCATGACCTGAGCCAAAGGCAGACGCTTAACCCACTGAGCCACCCAGGCGCCCTTCCCCCCTTTATTTTTAGTAAGCAGGCGCCACGCCCAGGGTAGAGCACAACACAGTGTTTGAACTCACAGCCCTGAGACCAAGACCTGAGCTGGATTGAGAGTGGGATGCTCAACATTTGAGCCACCCAGGCGCCCCCTCATTCTTGTGTTAGCTTTACGTGGAAAGTAGATAAATGACCAGATGCATTTTTATTACGACTTACTCATTGGAGGTGTCCCAAGATTGAAAAGCCATGTTCACATTTTTATTTAGAGCAAGTTCATGTTTTTTGTTTGTTTTTAGTTTAACGAGTCCAGTAATAATTGTGCTGGGGGGCGGAGAGGAGGCAGGAAGTGGCCTGGGTCTGGTTCTCCCGCATTTAGCTGCACCAGCGTTTCTGAGCTGGTGGACTTGGGACTTAGGGAGAAACACCAGATGCAAATCTGCAGACCTGCCCATGCCTCGTTATTGGTCACCTCCTCCTGCCCCTTCGAGGCACCTCTGTCGGTGTTACGATCAGTTTCCCCGAACAGGAATGGCAGCAGCTCCCTCCATAGGCCATTCCGGGGGACACTCTTATCCCCTTCTGCAGATGAGACCACTGAGGCACGGGGAACATTGACTGACGTGCCCCAGGTCACAGGTCCCAAAGATCACGGGCTTGACCACGGCACTGTGCTGCCTGCTGATGGTTGAGGACCTACTGTGCGCCCGGCACGTTCCGGCTGGCACGAAGCCCAGAGCTGTCTCATCGGGAATGTGGTCTTGGGATGGAGGGTGTGGAAGGCTCTTTCTTGAAGCGTGCTTTGGTCATTCCAACACAGCAGCGAGGGGCGGGGAGAAGCCCTTCACGCACGCTCAGGAGGGAGAACGTGATGCCTGAATGGAGGCTTCCATGCTGGTGGTTTTTCTAGAAATTACTGCCAGCATCTGCCAACAACAGAACCTTCTCTTCATCACCACCAACCTTGGAAACTGTCAAAAGGGCTGGTTCTGAGGGGCTCCTGGGTGGCTCAGTGGGTTAAGGCTCTGCCTTCGGCTGAGGTCATGATCCCAGGGTCCTGCATCGGGCTCTCTGCTCGGCAGGGAGCCTGCTTCCCCCCTCTCTCTGCCTGCCTCTCTGCCCACTTGTGATCTCTCCCTTTCAAATAAATAAACTCTTAAAAAAGGGCTAGCTCTGAAATGTTTTCTTTTTTGGATTCGGGGTAGTACGTGAACGGGTGCGTGCGGATGTGTTTTATGGAGTACTTTTCCTATGTGTTTATTAAGAAGTGGGAGGTTCCATGTGGCTTATTTAGGAAGGCAGGTGTGGCCTCCCTCTGGTACTAAGCTCCAGGCCACCTGCTCCACAGTGGGCGCCCACCCCTCCTCCCCGGGCACTGTCTGTGAGAGCGAGGGAGGGGGCGTCCCTGGGCCTGTTGTGGCTCACTTGGACCCCTCCTTAAATCCTCGCCCGATGGGGACCGTGCCCACCTCCACATCTTTTGTGACCCGGATCCAGAGAGGTGCGGGCCCCGGCTGCTCGTCGCAAGTGCATCCTGTGGGGAAGAGGCGGGCGGAGGTGACGCCCAAGGTGAAGGGGGAGCACTGCCCTTTGCCCCGGAGAGAGCTGACCCTCACCTAGAACACCTTCTAGTTCTTTCTCTGTGTGTCTCCTAAAAACAACCGGCATCGGAATAACACAGTCTTACCGTTCTTTCTTCTAGGTCATCTTGAACGTCTGAATCCTTGCCCTTACCGATGCTGCTGATAAAACCGGGATGGCTTTGAACTCAGTAAGTGGTTAATCATTACCTTCCCAGACTTTTCCCTTGTTTCATTATTTCCGCTGTTTTCATTATTTCCGCTGTGTGCTGGGCTGCATTTTAAGAGCTGGCCGCAGGGAACAGGTGCGCTCGGGGGAAGCGGGTCAGGGCGCTGTCTCCATTGGGGGGGGTGGGGGCGGGTCAGGGTGCAGACACACAGCAGCTGCACCCGCGGAGAGCACCCCAAGCTGTCGGGTGGGTGTGGGGTGTGTGCACTGCTCACTGGCCCCTTCTCTCCTTCCCTGCAGGTGAGTTTCAGGGTGAGCTGCGGGGGCAGCCAGGGGCAGGTGGGCGCTGGGAGGGAGTGAGTCCCAGGGAAGAACGGGTACGCGAGGCATCACCGGCCAGCGGACCCCTGTGCCGCCCTGCGTCCCAGTAAACTGAAGGAGGCCGTGGTTGAAATCGCATTGGGCTGACTGTCCCTCTCCCTGGACGCCCCCCACCCCAGCGCCTGAAACAGCTCTGGAGGCCAACGAAGCATCTTTGCTCCCCATTGTCTCTCACTAGTTCTCTTCTGCCTGGGAATGCGCACACAGGACAGACCTTTGGTCAGTAACCAGCATCTGCCGCATCTTGTGTCTGGGACACAGCCCTCCTGCTTCTCCCTCTTCAGCAGCTGCCGGTTTTTATTTTCACTCGCTCCATTTTAAATTTCATATCCCCTGCCAGGGCTTCGCCGGGACAGCCCGCTGTGCCTGCCGCGACCTTCCTGGTGGGACAGCGTGTTCTTAGATGCTTCCGATAGAGACCAAACCCTTGTGCTACTTTTTTTGTTGGCCTTTGCTGCCCCTTTTAGATGAGAGATTACACTGTTTCTCTTTCTGCCCACCGCTCTGGTTCAGAGTTACAGTCTTTTGACTTGAAGGAGAGCATGGGTGAGTTATTAAGTGGAAGTTAACTCTGGCTCATTCCTGTATAGTCTCGCTTCCCTGGAGGCCCCACTTAAAATAAAGCATGGCGTTGCCTCGGCTCAGAGCACCAGTCCTGTGTGAGCCCACGGTCAACAAGAAGCAGGGGGAGAAATGAACGAGTGGGAAGACGATAGAAGGGCTCTCAGATGGGGGGAGCATGTGGCCTCCCCGTGTGGCCCCGCCAGTGGGCGATTAAGGAGGACAGAAGCAGGGGACACACAGGCTGGCCAGCTGGGGTCCTGCGGGGGCAGCCAGAGGTGGCAGTGTTTAAGTGGATAGAGGGCAAGGAGAAGGACATTCCCAGGACATGGGTGGGGATGGCATAACATAAAATCTGCGGCTGGGGCAGCACCTTCCATGTCCTGTGTGCAGAGACCGAGTGGCTCCCCGTAGAGGTGTGGTGCCTTGGGGAGAAAGCTCATCGCAGCAGGATGGCATTCAGACTCTTTAAATGTCCCTCAGTAAATGGTGACAAGTGTCCTAAGGAAGGAGGAAGTAGAAAAGGAACGTTCAGAATAACGCACAGGATGACTGTTTCGTTAAATTTCTTACCCTCTGTCACTCTGTTCCTCTCTGCAAAATGGGTCCACGAGTCATACCTGCACTGTCGTGGGGCGTGTTGTCCAGTTTCCAGGAGGCCAGGAGTGTAGACGCGGGGATATCACTGCCCTCGTTGTACTCTTCAGCTCAGGGTTTGGGTGTGGACTCCTGCCCAGGCTACTACACATTTCTCCTTTACTTTTTTTTTTTTTTTCCTTCACTCAATCTCAGTGTTGACCGTTTCCTTTCTCTTTATTTCAAGGAAAAAAAAAAAAAAAGATCAGTAAACAAGCAAATACAAAAACTGTTGACAGTGAGTCGAAAGTTCTGGTTGGTTCTTTGACCAGATGAGTTCAGCGTTTGGCCCGATGAGAATTGCAGCAGGTTTTCCGCTCCTTTTCCGAGCACCAGGGACGCAAGCCCAGCCTTGAGGGTGACCGGGTGTTGATATCACTCACCTTTTCTTTCATGGTTTAGGGGTCACCGCCGGGAGTTGGACCTTACTATGAAAACCATGGATACCAGCCTGAAAGCCTGTATCTGGCACCGCCCGCCACGGTCCCCGGTGTCTACCCGGCGTATCCAGCCCCGTACTACCCGCCTGCCGTGCCCCAGTACACCCCCAGGGTGCTGACGCACGCTTCGACACCCGCCGTCCACACGCAGCCCAAGTCCCCATCGGGGACAGCGTGTACCGCAAGTAGGACCTTTTTTTGCATTTCATTCCTACAGCAGAACCAGCGTTGGGGTCCATCTTCCCCAGGGGCTCTGTCGCCGACTGTCCTCCCTCTCTGCTGGGGCTGGTCCCAGGCCCCTCCCCTCTCCCTCGCTGTCACAACTGTCACTGCCCCTTTCGCCTCCTGCCCAGGGCCGTTGGAGAGCTGCCAGGCTGCAAAGCCCTTCCTTTACTTTCCTTAACTCTCCTGGCCCACCTTGGCCCGTCCCACCCAGGGTGATCTCCCAAGCCGGGCCTCTCTGCCCTCTTCCTGCCTCCGCGGCTTGTCCATGTGTCCTCCCGAATGAAGGGTAAGCTCCGATGCGGGAACCCCCTACCCACCCTTCCTCTGTGGTGCGGTTCCCTGGATACAGCAGGTCGCGCTGAAGATGCGCGAGGGCTTCAGGCTCGGCGAATGAAGTGGCTGGTGTGTTGGCACACGGGAGGATGTCTGGGCTTTAAGGGTCTCAGGGGCAGAGCAGAGCGGGCGTAGAGCAGGGTGAGGGCTCCGAGGACGGAATCCTTTCACTGCCACATGCTTCTGTCTAACTCTCATTCATCTGTTTCCTTTCCGCAGCCCTCCAGCTTTTTTTTTTTTTTTTGTTAAGATTTTATTTATTTATATAAGAGAGAGAGCACAAGCAGGGGGTGGTGGGCAGGGAGGGGCAGATGGAGAAGCAGATCCGCGCTGAGCAGAGAGCCCCACGTGGGGCTCGATCCCAGGACCCCGGGATCACGATCTGAGCCACCCAGGGACCCTGCCCCTCCCAGCTTTTAGTGCGGGTCAGTGGAGTGTTGAGAGCTGCCCGGTGGACTGGTACAGCCGCCAGCCAGTACAGCCGGTAGGAGTACTAGTGGCTAAACCAGCAACGTGTCTGCTGACGGAGTTTTCTTTATTTGGCGAGCATGCATGTGCCCATGGCGTGCCTAAGGAGGAACAGTAACGCGAACTTGCACATGCCCCCAGCACATCCTAGAATAGAAGTGAGTCCTTAACTCTGTGCTGCGGGAAGCCCCGGCGTGCCCCGCCCCAGACCCTGGCAACCCTTCACCAGCGCTGCTGCCTGTCATGCCCCCTGTGGGGCTCTGCGTCCCTCACTCTTAGAAAACGGCTCTTGGTCCTTCTCCCTGTCAACTGGTTCCTTCCCTCATCTCCTACCCCTCAGTCTCCCTCCTCTGCAGTCATCCCTTTCCCGAATGGTTCCCGCTTTCCCTCCTCCACCCATTCCTCTCTCATCAAGGAAATCCTCCTCTGTGCGCCGATGTCCCTCTGGGGGCGGTTGGGGGGTGCTGCGACCAGTGATCTGGGAACTCGGCAATGTCTAGAGATCCCTTGTTTGCTATAACCGGGGAGAGGCCGGCACGGCACCTGCTGGGTGGGTGCCGGGGGCCCTGGGGACCCCTGTCGTGAGCAGCACGGCGTCCCAGAACTGAAACCACCCGGCCAAGATGTCCGAGGTGCCGAGCCCCAGCGGCCCCGGTCTGAGGTCGCAATGGGGGTTGGCAGGAAGACCCCACAGAGGTATACTTGTCTCCCCCAGAAAAGAGGGCTTTTTTTAGAAACCAAGGGTCCCATCTTGAGATAAGACATTCGGAGTTGGAGTTCATACTAGTCAGTGTCCAGCCCAGGCAGACAAGACGAGCCCACTTGCGTGACACCGGTGTCACCATCCTGGTGATGGCAAGCATGGGACGGAGGTTGTGCCTTACCCGTGACTTCATAAGGGAGGAACACAAGCCTGCATGCATGGTTCTGCATTATCAAACCGCCCTTTGAACTCAAAAATTACTTAGTGAGTTTATCTTGCTGCTTTTTAAGTTTTTATTTTCAGAAGATTTTATCTAATCGGATACAGAGAGAGCGAGCACAAGCAGGGGGAGCAGCAGGCAGAGGCAGAGGGAGAAGCAGGCCCCCCACCGAGAGAGAGCCCGGCATGGGGCTCGATCCTGGGACTCTGGGATCATGACCTGAGCCAAAGGCAGACGCTTATCCAACTGAGCCACCCAGGCATTTTGAAAACCTTTTTATTGACTTGCATAGAAACATGCACGTTTTATAAGTTTAATGTTTGGCCTTGGACATATTTTTCTAAATTAATAGACTATTTTTAAGAGCAGTTTCTGGCTTACAGAAAATTGAGTGCTGGATTCCCATATACCCCTTCTTTCACCACGTTTTTCCCGTCATCTTGCCTTAGCGAGCCACGCTTGTTGGAATCGAAGAGCCGATGTTGATACATTATTACTAACTAAAGTCCGTTGTTTTATGAGGATCACGCCCCTTTTGTTGCATGTTCTGTAGCTTTTGACCAAAGTGTCATGGCATGTCCATCCTTACAGTAAAACACGGAATGGTTCCAGTGCCCTTGAAATCCCCCGTGCTCCATCCATTCAGCTCCCTGCGGCTCCCCAGTCGTTGACAGCCACTGATCTCCGTCTCCATAGTTAGGCTTCTCTTTCCAGAATGCCGTGTGTTTGAAATGGTGCAGTATCTAGCCTTGTCAGAGCCTCGAGAGCGTTTTGCGCGTTACTTAGTAGCGCAGAGCCAGAGGAACCGGTCAGGAGTGCAGGGGCTGGGCCGTCTGGGGCCTCCCTGTTGTCTGTTTGCTCCAGCAACCGTGAGTGATGAGTAGTCGGTTGTCGTTAAATGCAACGGTGTTGCGTTTGCCGATTGGCCCCAAGTCAAGTCTGGGCTGACCAGACATCTGATTGCAAGATGCCCGTCCTCGAAAGGTAGCCTCGGGGGTTCCCCCTGCCTACGTGCTCCCCATGAGAGCTGGGCAGATCGCTGTCTGCTCAGTGAGACGTGCAGAAGACTTAATGTAATAGCTCTTGGCTCACCGCAGGCGTTATCTTCTCCTAGATAAATACCCAGGTCAGTCTATCCAGGATCAAAGAACAGGAAAGCTCCCCGAAAGGAAGAAATCCTGCTTGGCTAATGAGTCACATTGGGCATTTGGAACGTCCCCTGTTGAGTTTCCTCTGCCACTCTGCCCTGCCCTGCCCAACCGTGAGTTCTGATAACGTGGTTCGGTGGCACATGGCTTTCTCCAGACCAGTGGCCTCTGCCTCTCCCGTGAACCTGTTAGGACTGCAAATCTACGCCTCCCCTTCCCCAGCGGACTCTTGAGTTCCTGGTGATGAGGGCCAGGAAACAGGTTAGCGGGTGCCACGGGCGATTCCTTAGCCTGCTACTAGGGTTTGAGAACGTGGCAACAGGACGAGAGCCGTGGCTTTGAGCCCGGATGGGTGGGTCTGCCCTCGTCCAGCAGACTCCAGAGGCACAGATGGGTGCTGGGGGTGCCCGGCCTCCCCCACACTCCGGGACACCGACCTGGGTGTCCTCCTGTAAACTGAGGGGGTGGGAGGGTCTGTGGATGCCTTCTCCGCTCCCTCCCCTCTGCCTCTCCCCTGCTTCCTCTGAGGACCGGGCTTGCGTTGGGTGTGGTGTGTCCGACCCTTGATAATCGCTTTTGGCTTTGACCAACAGTGACCTGTGGGTTTGTTTTGACTGGAGAGCACTGGGGACCGTCTCCAGATGACTTGATTCTTGGCTGAGATGTGAGCCCAGTGCTCCTGCCTCAAACCAAAGAGTGGACGGATGTCAGCGGTCCCCAGTGGAACGTTCCACAGGGACAGGAACGTTCTATTTCTGCCGTGTCCAGAGAGGCAGCCCCTGGCCTCATGTAGCTGTTGAGCATTTGAATTTACATAACTACGAATGAATAAGTATTTCATAGATGTCACGGGAAGTGTTTGAAGCACAAACGGCCACACGTGGCACCTGAGGATGGGACACGGGGCTCTGCGGCAGCCTTTCCCTAAACTGTCTTGGGTTAGGACAATTTATTCTGCCTTGAGCACTGTTGCCAGGGAGGTGATCTTTTGGGGACATTGCTGTTGTTTTCCTATGCTTGTCATCACCGAAACAAGGTATTTTTCCCTCTTTTAGGCAATTTTTTACATGAATCATTTATTGGACTATTCTAAGACCATAACTTCTTATTTTTTTAAGACTTATTTCCTTTTTTTTTTTTTTTAAAGATTTCATTTATTTATTTGACAGACAGAGATCACAAGTAGGCGGAGAGGCAGGCAGAGAGAGGAGGAAACAGACTCTCTGCTGAGCAGAGAGCCTGATGCGGGGCTCGATCCCAGGACCTGGGATCATGATCTGAGCTGAAGGCAGAGGCTTTAACCCACTGAGCCACCCAAGCGCCCCAAGACTTATTTCTTTACTTGAGAGAGAGCGTAGTGGGGAACCCAGCGCAGGGCTCAATCTCACGACCCTGAGATCATGACCTGAGCTGAAAGCAGGAGTCGGACGCTTCACAGACCACGCCACCCACGCGCCCCACAAAGCCATACTTTTTAAAACTTACCATAAGGAAAGGTTACTTCTTATCATGGCTTCTCCTGTGGGAGATGTAAGATCTCCCCAGACACGTTCTTAAAATTTTAAGTCTCATTTTTAAGTATGAGAAATTACTGCTTAATGTGCCATCCTCTTTAAAAAGTAGTGGGTAAGATTTGAGAGTGGAACTTAAAGAAACTTTGTGACTCTGTCGTGTGCTCTCCCCCTTCCCCAGAGGCCAAGAAGGCGCTGTGCATCACCGTCTCCCTGGGGGCCATCCTGGCGGGAGCCGCCGTGACCGCAGTTCTGCTCTGGAAGTTAAGTAAGTGTTGGAGGGGAACCAAGCCTTTGCGGGGTGCCTGCTCTCGTGGGTGGCCCGCCAGCCTTCCTGAAGTTTCTTTCCCCCAAGCAGCTGTCTTCTCTTTCTTCTCTTGGGTGATGGGGACACATGAGTAACCATTGTCATCCAACTGCATTCTGGGTTGTCCTGAGTCACTTTCATGTCTCCTGCTGGTCTGTGGGCTGGTGGGCACTGACCCATTCCGACTGTATCCAGTGCTTCGGGCAGTAGGCATTGCCCGGCACTGGGGAGCACAGACTCCCGGCCTCGGGATTCAGCCACACCTGTCCCTGAATCTCGGTGGCCACATCACCGATTACGTGCTGAGGCGTGACTGTCCTGTGCCACCTCGTGACCTGCAGCCGGGCCTTTTCCGTCAGCCCTGGGCGGTGCGGACTCACAGCTTGGATGGAACACAGAGGTCACCTGTGCGGCAGAGAGGACATGGGGTGCTGTCGAAGTCCAAGGCCACAGGCCCTCCCACTCGCACCAGGGGCTCCGCTGCTGCTGACTGCCAGCCCTGCTTCTTTGCTGTTGGTGGTGGCAAGGACATACCTGCTCCTTAGTAACATTGAGGGGGGAAGGGTTCTTCTCTCCTGTTGCTTGGGACCCTGAGAGAGGAACCCTGCCGGAACTCGCACTGTGTGTGTGAGGTTTTCTCGGTGTCTCCGGCTGACTTGGTCTCCCTCCTGTCACTCTAAAGTGGAGAACAAATGCTCGGTGTCTGGGATAGAATGCGGCTCGTCGGGAACCTGCATAAGCCCCTCTCACTGGTGCGACGGGGTCCTGCACTGCCCTAGCGGGGAGGACGAGAACCGATGCGGTAAGTCGAGGCAACGTGTGCACCCGTGGAGGCAGCCTCTGTGCCCTGGCGCCCAGACTGCACCCCGTCCTGGGCACTAGGGAGTCACTGAACCGCGACCCAGATGCTCTAACCGCAGATGAGGACCCACGCTCAGAGAGTGCACTGCTGGCCCAGCCTCACACAGCGGTGGGAGGGGGACGGCGGGCTCCCAAGCGCAGAGTTGGGCTCTGTTATTTTCAAGCCGCTCGCCTTCAGCAGGGTGGGGATCTCTTGTCACAGAGAGGCACCCGGCTTTGGCTTTTTATTATTTTCTGTTAATTGTTAGGAGGGATTTCAGGGCAGGAGGAGTGGATGTCCTGGAAAAGGGTGCGGGTGCGGGTGTGATGCCCGTACCCATGGACAGCTAGCCACGGCGTGACCCTGACCCCGGCCTGGCCCCTGCCAAAGGGACCGCCCGTGGGCTGTTTCCATGTCGTGTGGGTGGGCGGACGTGGAGGAGCTGGCATCATCCCCCGTGAGTGTAGCTGACCTCTGCCCCTGGTGTGCAGTTGGCTTATTTCTCCTGATGACCTTGTAGTTTGTCCTCCTCTGGCAAAACGTGTGAGCCAGTCTGCCTGGCTGTGGGGCTGTGGCCGTGGCCCTGTGGTGCTGCGCCCCTGCGTCCAGCTCCCTGCTGCGCCCCTCTGACGCGCTTAACTGAGAACCCTTTTTTTTTTTTTAAAGATTTTATTTATTTATTTGACAGACAAGAGATCACACGTAGGCAGAGAGGCAGGCATGGGGTTGGAGGGGAAGCAGGCTCCCCGCTGAGCAGAGAGCCTCATGCGGGGCTGGATCCCAGGACCCTGAGATCACGACCTGAGCCGAAGGCAGAGGCTTTAACCCACTGAGTCACCCAGGCCCCCCGAGAACCTCTTGTTTTTAAACAAATTTCAAAGTTGCAGTCTGAAGGAGCACCAGGACTATGACCAGCAGCTTTTCTCTTCTCCCCTCAAGTTTGCCCTAAGTCTTCCCCTTTATTTAAGCACGCGGAGGGCTGTAGCCGGTGGGGAATTTGGGTCCCCTGCCTAGTCCTGTGCCCTCCAGGGTGAGGACTGCTGCCTTGCACGCCCTCCCTGCCCAGTCCCAGCACCTATGGGGGGCATGCCAGGGGGAGTCTGGAGAGGAAGGTGGGCCCCCGCCCCGGCTCTGTAGGGCCCCTGGGGTCACCTGTCCCCATGCTGGAGCCTCTCGGTCCTGCGAGCTGTGCCTGCGTCTGGGGAGTGTCTGCACTTGGCAGTGACCCACTCACACCTTCAACTTAGAATACAACTTAGTCTCCCCCCATGTGTTGCTGATGATGGGATTGTCACCGTTCTCCTGAGTTGGGGGTCTCGAGGCTCGTGGAGCGCGGTTCAGCTGTCCTGTGTGATGGCTTTTGGTGTTTTCACATGTGGGCACGCACGTGTGCAAGGACAAACTCCAGCAGACTTGCTGTGTCCTGCAGACCCTCCCCTTCCTCCCTCTCTTCTTAATGGTTGTGTTTTTTAAAATACTTTGAATTAATGTCCTCAAGCAGATCAGCATCAGGAAGTACCAAAGGATATGCAGGGACAACTCCATGTCCCCCGCTGTGCTCACACACGCACACACATACACACAAGTACACACACAGAAACGCGTGCGTGCCCGTTCACCAGCCAATCGCGCTTCTTTATCGAGCAGCCGTAGGGGTTCTTGTTTCTCCTTCCGGAGAGTTTTTAAGTGAAAAAGCATTTGAGTGTGTGTCTGTTTCCTGCTGCCCTCCTTTCTCAATGCCCAGTGCCCAGCTGACGGGCAGGTCTCGATGGCACAGATGACACATCCTGGGGACCATTTCTGTGCTCTGGTGTGTGGCTTCAGGGCCCTGGGAGTCCCCTCGTCTCCATGGGCATGACGCGTGTGTTCCAACCGTAGGAGCACGTTGGGGAGAAACACCCCAGAAATAAGACCGCCGGGTCAGAGCGTGGGCATGTGTGAAATTTGATCGACCCAGCTGCACTTGGGGTTGTACAGCTTCCTCATCGATTACTGATAGAACACGAGATCGGTGCACACGGCACTGCGTGTGTACTCGGTGTCAGATCAGAACACGCCTTTGACGTGCGTTTAATTCGTCCCCCCTAGAGCGGAAATTACTGTCATTGAAATGCGCGTCTTCTGACGCTACAGCATCGCCCATCCCGGGAGAGCGTTCGAGTGCACGTGCGGAGTGTTCCTTTCCTCAGAGCATACCTGCTCTCGAATATGCGGACGTGTATTGAATTGCACGTACTGCTAGCCTTAGTTCGTGCTCTGCGGCCGTGGCCATGGTTTCCGGGACCATTCGGTGTCACAGGAGGTACTGAAGCACGGCTCGGGGTGGCCCGGGGAGCACGCTGTTTCCTACACTTGAGATTGGCTGCGAGGGAGGACCTCGGGCGTTCTCACCACGGAGGAAGGTGACAGCTGTGTGAGGTGGTGGGCACGTCCGCCTGCTTCACAGGGTGTGCGTGCCGCTTCCAAACGCCAGGTCGTACCCCTCCAGCATAGGCGATTGTCCTTGGTCAGTTACACCTCAGCAAAGCCGAAAATGTTCCTAAGACTGAGGAAAGGAATTTGAACTTGAGACCATCTCCAGCTCTCTGTTGCATCAACTGTCATGTTTCCCTACTTAGCATTTTTTTAAAAGTTTTTTTTGTGTGTGTGTTTTTAAGTTTATTTATTTATTTGAGAGAGAGAGAGAGAGAGAATAGGGGGTGGGGGGAGAGGGCGAAGCAGGATCCCTGCTGAGCAGGGAGCCCACCTCAGGATTCGAACCCAGGATCCCAGGATCCCAGGATCATGACCTGATCCGAAGGCAGGGTGCTTCACCAACTGAGCCCCCCAGGTGCCTCTTCAAGTTTGTACTCAAAGGCCAGCTAGTGAGCACACATGGAATATTAGTTCCAGGTGTACTACATAGCGATGGGACACTTGTGTCCACCCCCCGGTGATGGTCACAGCCTGCGTCCTCCTGACTCCCCATCACCTCTCCCTGTTAGCATTTGATCACAGAGACATCAGAGAGGAAAAAAGCCTCTAAAATCACCACAAATCCAGAAGGCAATGTCTCCTTTGCTTTCTGCTGTGCCGCAGGGTCTGTTTTAATTTTGGAATTATGTTTAATTCCAGTGGCTTCTTAGAAAACTTAGTGGACCTTATTTTTCAGCAGTGTTGAGTGTGTAGAGGATTGAGCGTTTGGTCCGGACTCCCCGGGTCCCCACCCCACACACACTGCCCCATGTTTAACACTTGGCGTTGGTAGGGGGCTTTCATTTTAATTGATGAGCCCATGATTAATACATTCTTCTTAATGAAGAGTGAGCTGAGTTCTTAGTTCACGCTTGGGTTCTTTCTTGGCGTGCGGACAAATGCATAATGTGTTTGCATTTGGACAGTGGGTTTGAATTACGCATCCTGACCCATAGCCACCATCACGAAATCATACGGAGGATTTTCACTGCTCTGAAAACCGTCCGCGCTCTGCCTCTCCACCCCTTCCTTCCCTGGCCCCCAGCAACCACGAACGGTTTTATTATCTCCGTAATTGTGCCCTTTCCAGAGTGTCACCTGTTGGAATCCTATGCCTCGTAGCCTTTCCAGACGGGCTTCTGACACTCGCTGTGATAGGCACTTAAGCTTCCTCCCTGGCTTTTCCTGGCTTGGTGGCTCTTTTCTTTTAAGCGCACAGTCACAGTCCGTTGTCTGGCTGGAGCACAGCGCGTCTGTCCGCCCACAGAGCACGCGGCTAGCTGGCCCGGGGGGTGTGGGGTCACTCATCCCGGAAGCATCAGGAAATGATGAGCCTGGGGCTGCTGGCTTCACAGGGAATGCGCTGGAAGGTGTCAGGACGTGCAGTGAGCTGTGGCCACAGACGGGCGGCGAGAATGAGGTCTGCAATGACCAGTCCTCCTTTTACATTTGCCATCCCATGTTTCCCGCCCCCAGACCTCAGAGCGCGGTTTCACAGTTTCACACGCTTTTAGACTTTGCATGGCCTCGAACAGACGTTTCGCGGCGGGCCCTCTTTCGCGGCCCTTTTCAGGGTCGTTTCCGTTAGGTCAGCACCGGTCAGTCCTGCAGCCGCACGGGCTCCCGCTCTGTGGCTGTGCCCGTCTCCACGTGGTGGCTCACACAGGGAACATTCTCGGGATCCTGGGTCCAGAAGGCACTGGAATAAAGCAAGGCTTAAACTAGGTCTGTAATGTTCCGTTTCTTTCAGCAAAAGAACTGGGGTCGTTTGGGTCAGGAGCTGCTGGATTAGAGGTAGAGCGTGCGTGAGGGCGCCGGGCACAGCTTGGGGCGCCCCGCTGGGACCCAGGGTATAGGGCATGAGGGGTCAGCTTGTTGTTCAAAAGGATCGTTTAAAGGTCATTTTTCAAGAAACCCTTTACCTTATTCATTTATTTTTTAAAAATCAGCTGTATCAAGGTGTAATTCACATACCATGGAATTCATTCTTTACGATACACAATTTGGGGACACCTGGGGGGCTCCATCTGTTAAGTGTCTGCCTTGGGCTCAGGTCATGATCTCAGGGTCCTGGGATCAAGTCCCACATCGGGCTCTCTGCTCAGTGAGGAGCCTGCTTCTCCCTCTGCCTGCCTCTCCCCCTTGCTCGTGCACTTTTTTTCTCTCTCCTTCTCTCTGACAAACAAATAAAACCTTAAAAAAAAAACCAAAAAAACAGATGACGCAGTTTGGTGGAATACTTCCGTCACCTGCTAAGGGAAGGCCGAGGGGGTCCCCCGCCCTCCGACTTGTCCCTCCCCCACCCCAAGCCCCGCCCGCCCCGGGCCCCAAGCAGCGGCTCACCTGCCCTCTGTCGCTGTGGATTTCCTACTCCGCGCAGTTCACAGAAACAGGGGCGAACAGGGGTGCAAGCGTGGCCAGTGCTTGGCTCCTTTCAGGGCTGGGTGGAACCCCGTGGTGGAGATGGACCACACTTTGCCCGTTCTTCTGCTGGTGGTCCCTTAGGTTTCCCCGCCTCTGGCCATTGGGATTAACGCTGCTGCTGAACATCTCTGGAGGTCCTGGCCCAGCGCCTACATTCGGTTCTGGGGGGTAAAGAGCACATGAGCGCTGAGAAGGGATAGGCCGGGGACGCCCCCTCAGGGGTGGTCCGTGCCTGGGGAACAGGGACCCGGTGCGGCCCCCTCTGAGCCTTTGTGTTGAGGGCTCGGGGCTCGGGGGTGACGGACAGCCTCCCAGAACTCACAGAGCCTCTCCCCTGCCACAGTTCGCCTCTACGGCCCGAACTTCATCCTCCAGGTGTACTCCGCCCAGAGGAAGTCCTGGCACCCCGTGTGTCAGGACGACTGGAGCGATAGCTACGGGAGGGCCGCCTGCCAGGACATGGGCTACCGGTGAGTGTGGCCCCAGCTGCAGAAACCCGGGAAGGATCCTCTCCGTCCCTCCCTGGACGTCCCGGCACACCAACGCTGGGACAGTGGTCTCCTGCCTAGGGCTGGCCTGGGAAACCAGCGGGTGCCCACTGCATCCCCCCCTCCCCCGCCACCTTCCTGCCTCTAGTGGCCAAGATTCACTGCCATCCCACTCCGCTACTCGGGGGTCACCAAGGTCCAAGGTGCTAGCTGAGGGTCTTGGTGGCTCTTTTCTCCAGGAGCCTCTAGGCAGAGTTGAAGCCTTAACCTCCCCAGCGGTCCTCGATGGGTCCCTGGGGGAGGCCAGAGGGAAGAGATCGTCCTTGACCTTCACTGTGCATGCTTGGGGGAGGCACTGAAGCCTTTGAACAGGAGAGAAGAGACATCAGATTTCTATGGAAGAGAATTCAGCCCTGCCTGGGGCCGCGGGGCGGGTGGGAGAGGCAGGAGGGCCCTTCCCAGGGGTTCCCAGCCGGAGGCTCACCAGAGCACACCCCGGAGGGCATGGCAGCCGTCTGGGCCCACGGGGAAAGGCTGGGCTGTGTTACCTTAATGCCACCACCTCTTCCTTGGAGTGTCCCCATATGACCTTTGTGCAGTCCTAGGGGGTTCGCCAGAGACCGGTTTTCAAAATTAATTACCACTTGATAAGAAATTTGGCATCTTAGCTAGTGTACCATTTCAAAATGCCATTCTCCGATTGCAGTCGAATGACCTAGTGAGGCCCCCTCGCAGCTCAGGACCTGATGGGATTTTATAGCTGGGCGGGTTTCAGCCTCTGTCCATTTCCTGAAGTTCCTGTGCTCACACTTCCCTGTCCTCGTGGTTTCTTTATCCTGACCGTGGAGCTCCCTGACCCTGGGAGCTTAGAAAAAGGCCAGTGGAGAGCTTTTACCTGACACTCCTGGGTTGTTGCCAGGGTGGTGGACGGGATGGTTCTAACCCACGGTCACTTGATTTGAACTTGGGGTTTTGTTTTCCAAATGCCCGTTGGTGTTTCTCTTAATCGGAACCCCATGCAAGAGAAGTCTGATGATGGGCACAGGACTCGGGGCTGCTTATCAGGAAGCCATTGTTTTAATTAACGTTTTCTGCCTCTTTTAGGAATAGTTTTTATTCTAGCCAAGGGATCGTAGATGACAGCGGAGCCTCCAGCTTTATGAAGCTGAACACAAGTGCGGGCAATATGGACCTGTACAAGAAGCTGTACCACAGGTACTGGGCGATGCCTTTCTCCCTCTGAGAAGATGGTAATGAGCGACTGGGAGACACCGTGGGGAGTCCGTGCCGAGGCTGCTTTCCCTGAGCCGGAATTCCGGGTGTCTCTGAGTTTCTCGTTGGCGGGAGATGGGACTTGTAAGTGGGGCTGGTTGCTCTGGGTTCATTTTTGGGAAGCAGCTAAGGGTTATTTACTGTTGGTGCCCTTGATGGCATCGGATAACGTCGTAAAATGGAGAGTTCTTACTGCTTTTCTTTTTTTAAAAAGATTTTATTTATTTAGCTGAATGAGAGCGAGTGAGCATAAGCGGGAGGGGGAAGGTCGGTGGGGGCAGACTCCCCACAGAGCAGGGAGCCCCACACAGGGCTCGATCCCAGGACCCCGAGCTCATGACCTGAGCCGAAGGCAGACGCTTCACCGACAGAGCCCCCAAGGCGCCCCCTTACTCCCTTACTGCTTTTCTTTCCTCCCTGGACATTAGAGACGTACATGCTACGTGCAGGGTGTGTGTCCAGAGAAAGCCTCAGGGTCGCAGCCCGGGGGACCAACTGATCGCACTTTGCGCGGGTGTTTGCGAGTTTCAGCCCAGGAGTCCTGCTTCCCGGAGATCCCATCAGTGTCCTGCTGTCTTCCCGGGATCATCATTATTACCTGAATGTTCTCTAACGTAGAAGTCACACAGTGTCCTCTGTGTGTAAGCCTCGTCTGCTCCCAGGTCCCTATCGCTCATCCCCAGGTGGCCAGCCAAGCCGGCTTCTCCCTGTCGGCCAGCTGCCAGGGGCTGCCCTCGACTCGGGCAGGTGAAGTCACCAAGCCGCCCCTCCTTTCCTTTGAGTGGGAGGCTGGCCGCTGTTTGCATTCCTGGTGGCTGCTGACCGCGGTGCAAGGGGGCTGACTTCCGCCCAAGCTGCCCAGCCTGGCGGTCCCCAGGAATGTGACAGGGTGAGCCCGGGAGGAGGGCTCTGCTGGCCAGGTGCAGGCATCAAAACAGCAGGGCTGTGTTCTGCTAAGCGCAGCTGCCGGGGCTCTTCGTAAACGCTGGTGTCTCTGTTCGAACACTTCCCCTGCGGCTTCAGGGCTGAGCAGGGATGGAAGGCTGCCTCCTGGCCACGAGAGCCCCGGGAGCTCACGAGGTGGCCGCCGGGTTGGCAGGGAAGACGAGGTGGTCCGTGGCTGGCATGGGGTGTCCCATACATGTGGGGTGAGTGGAAGGCTCCTTCCTTTGCGTTGATACCCGGGTCGCAGGCTCCCACTGGGGTCGCCCGAGCGGCCGCACGCTGCACCTCCACGGAGAGGACGGTCGGCTTCGTGATTCTCAGAAAACATCTTCTCTTCATGGGGACGTGGCTTCTCTCGGGGTGGTTAAGCCCCGCAGCCCGAGACCAGCAGGACCCGCAGTGCCCGGGGAAGCATGGGGCCCTCGGTGTGAGGGTGGCCGAGGGGACTTTGTACGTTGGACTCGGGCTCGTGTTGGATCATTTTGGGGGAGGTTCCAGGAAGCAGGGCTTGGCTCTGGACCGGGTGCGACTAGGAAGCGAGGGTGATTTTGTGATTGGAATCTCAGCGCTGCTTCTGGAAGGGGGCAGGCGTGAAGCCAGGCGTGAAGCCTGGCTACGGTGAGATTGGCAAATGGGTGCCATCCCTCCTGGTGGCCAGCAGAGGGGGCTGCCGGTGACCGTGTGGCTGGGATGCGGTTTGTGCCAGCACGTTAGGGCTGATTCTCTCCCTCACTATGTAGTAGTTGGTCATTCATCTTTCAACTGTAACTTTAAGCACTTCCCTCCCAAACGAGTAACTTTTCTCTGGTTCCTGAGCCAGCGATCAGCTGCCCTTGCTTTCCGTGCGGTTGTAAAGCAGGAACCCGGAACTTTCCGGATGGCTTCTGGACAAAACCAAGGGGTGACTTCGAGTCCTGGGAATGAAAATCGTAGCCATGTTACAGGGTGCCACTCTGACGTGGTACCCTTCTCATCCCATTCTACAGATGGGGAAACTGAGGCACGGGGAGGTGACGTAGCCCGCCCAGAGGCACACAGTGGAGACTTGAAAGCCGGGCTTTGACTCGGTGCCCCCATGTAGATCTGCTCTCCTTGTCCAGGTCTTCGGTTGTGGGTCCTTCCACACTGGGGAGGCCGGGCCGCGAGAACATTGGAAGAAAATGTTTATTTCTAAGTATTTTGAGAGTTGAGCATCAGAGTGACCAGAGTATCCCCTCTTCTTCTGCAGTGACATCTGCGCCTCGAAAACAGTGGTTTCTTTGCGTTGTATAGGTAAGTGATTCTCGATTACCCCTGCTTTTTTCCTAAACAGGGAACACGCTATAGGCTCAGAAATGCCTCCCCGGTGTCTGGGGAGGTGGGGGGATGGGCTGGGATGTGCCTGGAAGCCTTGCGTCCTGCCTGCACCCCAGCTCCCTGCAAGGAACACCCTTCTGGGATTATGGTGTGCTAGAGGTACCGTCAGCCTCGGGTCCAAACAGCCATCCCATGAGGACCGGCAGTCTCGGGAAGCTGATGGGCCCCCCTCCTGCCCCCCTCCAGGTGGGCCTGGAGGCCATGGCTCTTCCCATCTCTGGGCTGGGATTACTTACAGCTTCCAAACCGTTGTCAGTGTGGGAGGCACCGTCCCTGTGCTCCCCTCTCTGGGGTGGCCCAGCCCTGTTTCCCAACGGGATATGGTTCCAAAGCTCAGCTTTTCAAGAGGTGAATCCAGTAGCCACTCCCGGGGGGCTGAGTGACCCTGTGGTCCCAGCCGCTGCTTCCCAGCTGGGCTCAGCTCAAGCTTCTTCAGGCCCTAAGAGAGCGTGGTGCCTGCCCCATCCTCCAGCCCTCATTGTCCACCTCGTGGGGCATGAGACCCCCACGCTCCAGCAGTTTGCAGGCGCATTGGGGGACACTGACGGAAGCCCAGCTCCTTTACGCTGTCGGGGATGGGGACAGGGTAGGGGAAGGGAGGGGCTCGGAGATTGAAGTCCCCTGGGACTTCAGCACCCTTCCAGCCTCCCTTTCTCTTTTGGTCCTGGTCCACGGTGAACTTCTCCCTGTGCTTCCGAGGCCCCCGCCCCACCCTCCCCCTCCCATTAGGAGGCTCTGTCTTGTAAACTAGGCTTTTTTCCCCACTGGTGATCCCGAGTTTCCACAAAGGAAGCCTCGTCTCCCTTTCTGGCAAAGAACTTGGCACAAGTGGCACCAGGCCAGGCCAGGCACTGAGGATTCACACTCCCTGCCCCCCCCTTCCTCCCTTTCCTCCCTCCCCCTTCCTTTCCTCCTTCCTCCTCCTCCCTCCTTCCCACCCTCCTTTGCTTTGTTCAGGGACTTTGGGGCCTCTGAGCATTCAAGCAGGCCCAGGCCCCTTGTTATCCAAGATCCCCCACCTGGGTGTGCAGGAGACCCTGACAGGATCAGGGCCAAATGACAGGCGGCATCGAATGCCGGCAGAAGCTTCCCCGGGGTCTGGGGGGTCCAGGGAGCGTCTAGGACACACTCTGTCGAAATCAGACCCAAACAAATGGGACTGAGAGGCAGCCGCAGTGGCCCAGCAGTCTGGCAGGAGATGTGGTGGAGCCAGTGGGGGCGGCCCTGCTGGTGCTCACGGCAGGGTGCTTGCACTTCCAGAGTGCGGGGTCACGGGGAAGACGACGCGCCAGAGCCGGATCGTGGGCGGGAGCAGCGCGTCCCCGGGGGACTGGCCCTGGCAGGTCAGCCTGCACGTGCAGGGCACCCACGTCTGCGGGGGCTCCATCATCACCCCCGAGTGGATCGTGACAGCCGCCCACTGTGTGGAGGAGTAAGTCCATTGGGGTGAGGGGGTCTCGGGCATGGCTCGGGGCTAGGGGGGACCCCTGCAAGCTCTGATTTCTTTGCCTGTACATGGGGCACAGCACCCACTTCATGATGCTGCTGGAGGGTCCCCTGGGCTCGTGCTTGGGCAGCAGAAGCCGGGCCCATCCCCCACCCCCCAGCGGGTGTGTGCGGGTGCCCCAGCATGCTGGGCTCTGGGAGGGCTGCCGTGTGGGGGATGCTGGGAGCATGACCCCTTCCAGCCTGCATCCTAGCTGAGTCCTCGGGAGGCCTGATCTCTCCTGGATGCTCGTCCTCAAGACGGCACACCAGAGAGCCTCACGTTGCTCTGCCCGGGGTTCCCTGGGCCCCACAGGTAGGCAGCCTTGGTGATGGTGTTGCCCACGCAGATGGGTGGGGAGCGGGGAGGATAGCCACCATTTACAATGTTGGCCTTTTCCTTTAAACATAGAGATTTTTGGTCACATCTGTATTTGGGAGGAAACTCCACGTAGCAAATCTGTTCTGAGTCAGAGTGAGCTTGTGCCTGGCTTGGGTCCCGGCCCTGCCATCTCCCCGCTGTGTGGCCTCAGCCATTCACACTAGGTGTCTGACCACGTGCCCTCTCTGCACCCCTGTGGGACAGGCGAGCCGCCTCCTCCCAGAGGCTGTGGGGAGGGTGAAAGGAGCGAGGTTTCCCTCCTTACCACCTCCCTCCTCCTCCCTCCTGATGGCTCCCGGGATCCGGGATTCTCTTCAAGGGAAACCCCTCAATAAGGCTAATGCCCAGATGGCTGTTAAACCTAGAGTCTAGACATTGGTGCACATTTATTGAGCACCTACTGTATGCCAGAAGATGCCCTACAACATAAAAGTAGGTGAGACCCTGTCCTGCCAGAAATGAGGTGTGAAACCTCATTTTGGAGGCATCAGGCCGAAGAGAAAGTGTTCTTAGAACCTTTTTGGTTTGCAGGCTGGTGCGGAGCACAGGAGGGAGGAGCTCATGACGACGTAGAGGGGAGGGGCCGGGGAATGGGAGAGCTGGGGACGACCTTGCTGGCCTCCCATGTAGCTTCTAGCGGGTCGTGCCCCTCTGGGACGCCTGGCTCCGGCGTGTGACTTATGCAGTCGCCAGATGAGTGTTTCATGTTCGCACTGCCAAGACACTGAGTGGCGTTGGGCTCTGTCCTCCAGACCCTTGAACAACCCCCGCTACTGGACGGTCTTCGCGGGCATCCTGAGACAGTCTTTCATGTTCTACGGACACGGATACCGAGTGGGGAAAGTGATTTCCCATCCCAGTTACGACTCCAAGACCAAGAACAATGACATCGCTCTAATGAAGTTGCAGACGCCTCTGACTTTCAACGGTACGCCCCCGTGTCCCTGGGGCTCAGGGCGCGTGCGCCACTTACGCCGCATCTTAAGGACAGAGGCGGATGGGAACGAACCCCGGGCCGTGCTGACCAACCGGAGGGAGGGGTGCGGAGGGCTGGCTCACGAGGCGTCCTACCCCTTATAGAACGATGATTTCATCAGCACGCGGAAGTCCGGAAGGGGCTCCAGCCACAGCCCCGTGGACATTTGGGATTGGACGCTTTCGGTTGGGGGGCCCTCCTACGCGGTGTAGGACACGGAGCGGGAGCCCTAGCGTCCACCCCCAGAGGCCAGCAGCACTTTTCTGCTGTGACAACAGTGTGTCCCATCGCTGGACACATCCTCGGGGCGACATCGCCTGTAGTTGAGAACTGCTGGTCTAACGTTTGTCGGTACTTTCCGTTTTCACGTGACCCCCCCAAAATAAGACACTTCACAGTTTACAACAGTAAAAAACATGCAGGGTTCCCCTTGGGTTCGTGTTCGGCCGTTCTAGTCCATGCAAGGGTCTCTGCGGAATGTTCCAGCCCGCTTGGGTACAGATGAGGCGGAGCCTTGTCCCTCCCCTCGAGGTGTTTGGATTCAAGTTGGGATACGGTTTAGACCCAGAAGGAGCTGGTCGGTGGGGGTGGTGTCCGGCAGGGGCCTCTGAGGTGCAGCGGGGAGCGCCCCGAATGTGAATGTTTAGAGGCAGTAATTCCATTTGCAAGTAGCGTAACTCCAGAGAAGGGAGCACCCCGTCTGTAAGAAGAAGGGTGCAGGGATGGGAAGCGGGAGTGCCAGAACACGTCGGGATCTGGAATTTCCCATGAGCGACGGCGCTACCAGGCCCCGCCGCGCACAGGTGGGGAAGGGCCAGGGGACACCGTCGCGGGAAGCCTTCCGTTAGACCAGACCCGCTCACCGTGTGTTCCCTTCCTGGAACAGACAAAGTGAAACCAGTGTGTCTGCCCAACCCGGGCATGATGCTGGAGCCGAACCAGTCCTGCTGGATTTCCGGGTGGGGGGCCACCCACGAGAAAGGTGAGGTCCCCGGGGACACAGCATGCGGTTTGGAAGTGGGAGGTCTGGGGTTTTAATCCTGGTTCTGCTACCTCCTGTTGCAAGCGCTTAGTGGTGCGAGCAGGCATCTTACGTATGGCTCGCAGCCTTGTGGGAAGTGTGTGCGGCACACGTGCACACGTCCTCTAAAGCAAGGGGGGAGGGGCATGTCGGGGAGGGGCAGGCCAGCCGGGCACCCAGGCGTCTGGTGTGAACACAGATACCGCGGGTGAGCCCTACGGTGTGTGCCCGGCTTCGCGGCGGCCAAGACAGATGGGAAAATCAGCACAGATTTGCGGGGCTCCTCCCATGGGCTGGGAGCGCAGCATGGAACAAAACAGGACAGATAACGTCCGCGTTTTCTCGTGGGTGTCTGGGGGCAGAATGTGGCCAGACAGGAAGCAGGTAACGGAATTAGGGCTTTCAAACGGCAGGAAGTTGTGACAGCAAGGGCCTGGCTGCTTTGAAGAGGTGGTCGGGGAAGGCTTCTTGGAAGAGGCAACATTGGAGCTGAGATCCGAATGACCAGGCTGTTTAAGAGAGAAGGGTCGGTGTGGCTGGGGCGCGGTGAACCGGGGTGAAGGTGTGGGCCGTGTGCGGCCTCACGGGCTATGGGGAGGACGCTGGCTTTTACTCTCTGTGAGATGGGAGGCCGTTGGGAGGTTTTAAGGAGAACAGGTGACTCATTTGGTTCAGCATCTGACTTGTGATTCCAGCCCCGGTCATGATCTCAGGGTCTTGAGGTCAGGCTCGGCTTCAGGCTCCGTGCTCAGAGACGAGTCTAACCGAGGCTTCTCTCCTCCTGCTCGCACATGTGCTCTTTCTCTCAAATAAATCCTGTTTTGGAAAAAGGAGAATGACGTAATCTGGTGACTCTCTGGGGAGTGCAAAGGATGCAGGCAGGAGGGGGGCTGAACCCCAGTGTGGGGAAGCGTGGCGTGGTCCTGCCTCACCAGTTGGCAGCTCAGCCGTGGGGGGTGGACTGGAGGGGGGGACACCAGTGCACGTTTGGGACAGAGCCACCATCTTGCTGATGGAGTGGATGTCAGCAGAGGCGAGAGAGGGGCCCAGGGAGGGCAGCTTTGTGCTTCGTGATCTGAGCCTTGGGTGGGGGGTGGTAGTGCCACGGCCTGAGTGGGGGAGCACTGGGTGGTGAGCATTTGGGGTTGAGAGCAGGAAGAGGCTCTTTTTGGCTCCTGGAGCCCGTGGTGCCTGGAGGACAGCCATGTGGAGGTGGCAAGGCAGGAGGGAAGCTGTAGAGACGACAAGGGCCCACCACGCTTTACGTGCAGGGGAGCCGAGAGGTGGGGGCAGTATGTGGAAGCTCCGGGGCCGCCCGGGAAGGGTCTGCTGAGGAGGGAGCCCCAAACCGCGTCGCTGGGTGGTGAGAGAGGAGATTCTAGAACGCGGATGGCCTTCCGGAGCCAGCAGGACTGAGCACACAGCACCCGCAGTGAGGCGGACCCCGCGTCCCGGGACAAGGCTTGGGAGGAGCAGGGAGGGCGGGGAGGGGCCGGGCCGTCGGTGTCCTGTCGCGGGGGAGGGACGCCCCGCCGCAGCTCGTGTGGTCCTTCCTCTCAGGGAAGACCTCGGACGAGCTGAACGCGGTCATGGTGCCCCTCATCGAGCCCTGGCGATGCAACAGCAAGTACGTCTACAACAGCCTGGTCACGCCGGCCATGATCTGCGCGGGCTACCTGCGGGGAGGCACCGACTCCTGCCAGGTGAGCGCGCGCATGCCGGGCGGGGTGGGGGCAGGGGCGTCCGCTCTCCCGCGCCCGGGCCCCTCGGGTGGCCGTGGCCATGCGCGGTGCTGACGCTGGGGACGCGCGTGCTGCCCCCGCTCGCACCCCCGGGGGTTTATTTCGTCAGCGTGTGGCGGGGTCAGAAGTAAGTTTCTGAACTATTTAACAATACGGTCAGCAGTTTACTGGGTAACTCCTGCCTGGTGCCGCCTAAAACTCGTTACCGGCACACGGTCTCTGGGGGTTACAGTGCTGTCCCTTCTCCGGGAGCCCCGAGACCCGCGCCGCCACGCGTGACTCCCACGGGGCGCCCACCTCGATCCCCGCCCTCGGCACGTGGCCGCTTGTGTGCGCGGGTTGTGGTCTGAACTTCTGCCCTTGCTGTGTCCCCCAGGGTGACAGCGGAGGTCCCCTGGTCACTTTGAAGAGCCGCATCTGGTGGCTGATCGGGGACACGAGCTGGGGATCGGGCTGCGCCAAAGCTAACAGGCCAGGCGTGTACGGAAACGTGACGGTGTTTACCGACTGGATTTACCGACAAATGAGGGTAACTTTCCTGTCCCTCTCTTCCCCGAGGGCTCCTAGTCCGGTGTCAGAGCCCCGAAGTCTGTAGGGTGTGGGTGTGCAGTCCGCATCGCTCGCTGTAAAGATCTGGGAGCCTTTCGAGTCCAGAGCCAGCTGTCCCCCGGCTGTCCTGTGCGCTGCAGACCATGCCTCCTAGGTCTGGCTCAGCCGGGTCTGCTCCACAGCACCCCTAGACCGCTCATACCCAACTGCGGTGACAGGCAGAGAGCAGAGCGAGCCAGATTTCTGTGCCCTGGGCTGGGGGAGCAGCCGGAGTTCCTGGGTATAAGGAAAGGTGGTGATGACCGGAATTGGGGTACAGCTTCCCTCGGAGCCCAGGAGCGGGGCCCACAGATACTGAAAGTTGAAAATTTCCAGAATCAATCCAGGGGGGGCCCGCCCAACTCCTTGACCTTCGTGCTGCAGGAGAAAAAAATACCTGTTGGTCCCACTCACTCGCTCATTTGGTTAGAAGTCAGTCTAGCAGAAAAAAAACAAAAAACAAACAACAATTGGCTACCTTTTTTATGGCTGAAGAAAACAACATCATTTCTTTCTTCCATTTTGAACAGGCAAACAGCTAATCCATGTGCCCTGGTCCTTGGCACTGTGTCCGTGAGAAAGTGAAGGGGCCGGTTCTTCATTCCCCGGGCATCGTGTATTTCTAGAAATGATTGGAAGGTCCTTTCATTGTTATTAAATAGTGGATTTGTCTGTGTTTGGCGCTCTCCACAGTTCTGCGCAGGCCATAGGCCCTTGCTCCGTGACCCTTCGTCTGAAAGGGGTGACAGGGCCCAGCTGGGTGTGGGCACCTAGGGCCAGTGCAGAACAGTGGGTGGGAGGCTGCCCTGTTGGGATCTTCCTTCTGAACCCACTGCGGGGACCACTTCTGGATGCACCTGGGGCTAGTGACTTCTCAGCTACTGGATGGCTGGCAATGGACAGGGGGAAAGCTGGGTGGGACTGTCAGGGCAAGCTTTTGGGGTCACTGCCGGTTAGGGCTACCCTTGGCCAACCCACAGGGGTCTTTGCTGATCATTTTTTAGTGCCTTCTCACTATGGTGGCTGGAAACCAGGGGACCAGCCCTTCATGGCTAAAGACAAGATTGCTCCTGCTCGCGAGGGCAAGAGCGTAGACAGAGCCCTTGGAACAAGGAAAGCCATTGCAAACATGCCCCCTCTGAGCACGGCTGGGCTGGTGGCCACTGCGCATGGGGTGGGGCACCCCCGAGGGAGACCTAGCCTCACTCCCCACCCCTCTCTTCCTTGGAGAATGTGGGGTGCCATGTGGACCCTCTGGAGCCTGCTAATCACATGCAAATCGAGGTCACTCCAGGGGAAATCAGGGATGCGTGATTGAAGATACACTGTTGCATGTAAAGTTTCTACGTGTTACTACCTCAGTGCTGGCGGAGTCTTGGCCCACGCCTCTGAAGTAGTTGCTGCGTTTGGCTCTTTGAAATGATCATCCTTGCCAAGTGCAGACAGCGGCCAACTTGAACTGCTCTGCAGAGCGTTCCACACACAGATGCTGAGCAGCAGTGCCTGGGCCAGGGACAAAGAAGAGGAAGGGGCGTTCTGGACTCCCCGAGGCCCCTTCCGCCCTTCAGGCTTCCCAGGGAGGGAAGGGCAGTGGTTTGCCGAGTGTGGGGCTTCGGAGCTCTTGGCTGTGACTACTGCTTTCCAAGGCTCTGCGTTCGCTCAGGCCTGCGGGTTTCCCAGAAGAGAAGGAAGGATTCTACCACTGGGGCTTCACCTTGAAGCGGAAGGTCGTGGGGCCCCGTTCCCGGGATCTGCGTGCCTCCTGGGCGGCAGCATCTCGGGGGCCTTCCCAACCCTCGGCACCCCGCCTGCTCCCCAAGTCAGATGTTCAAAAGCACTGTCGTGGTGAGAACGTGTTCCTTCCTTAACCTCCTTTTCTGTGACCACTGTTTGTCTTCCTTTGTATCTTCTTTTGTTTTGTATCTTTTTTAAACTGTAAATTCAGTTGTGAAATATTGTACAAATAAATTATGCATTTTTTTTTTTCCAAATGTTCATTGAGTCTTTGGAGATCTGGGTGGCGCACAGAACCAGTTTGCCTCTCCTTGGAGGGCAGTGATGCTGGGTAGGTGTTGCACAGCGGAGGCAGGGGCGAGGGGGCTGGTCTGAGGGTGGAGGTGAGGCAGGAGGCAAGGGGTGTGGGCAGGTGTGGTCTAATGATTAGCTTCATCGGCCCTCAGGGCTGGCCTGTCGGTGGTGACCCCCGGTATCTCCTACCTGGGCATTACCCGTGGCTTCAGCTTCCCCCCAGACTCAGGCCCTGAGACCCAGCTCTCTTCATCCAGACCTCTCTGCCCATTATCCCACACATCCCTCTGCAGGGTCAACCTGTCCAAAAATGCATTCAGCGTCTTGTCCCCTACAGCTGTCTTCCGAAGTTCCTTTCAGTTCTTGGGGGCAGTGCTACCTCCTCAGCTCTCCTGGACGCCAGCCCCATGGAGTTGGGGACTGAGCCAGAAAGACTGGATGAGTTTTTTCTCTGCCCGAGAACAGAAATGCATTCACATCCTTTGCATGGCGCAAATCCTGTGGGTCCTACAAACACGACAGGTGACTGTGTTCATTATATCAAGATGTGTTAAAATTACAGAAAAAGTGTTAAAAAGTAAAATAGGTCTTTTTTGTTAGGCAACACGCTTAAATACAGCTGAGTCTTAGTCATGGTAATCGGATCAGAAAACCAGCAGGAGCGCTGATTTAGTGAATAGCGAATCATTGCTTCCAGGGGACAAACGGAAGGGTGAGGTGCCTATGAGCCTCTGGTCTTTGTCAGCTGGTCTCTTCATGACCTTGTTTTGCAGGTGTCTGTGCAAAGACACTTAATTGACGCAGTAGCAAGGAGCTCATGGCCAATGGCACCAGGAGTCCTGGAGAAGCTTAGCCACACGCCCGCTTGCCCAGTGAATCACATCACAGCCCAGAGCTCAGGACAGCACCTAAGTGGCTGTTTGAAACCGCGAGTCACCAGCGAAAATAAAATGCTGGGAACGTGGCACTAACCAGACCACAAGGAACGCTTGTGTGCCGCGAGAGCTGAAGCGAGAAGGCAGGGCTTTGCCCTGCCTGTCCTCGGCTCAGAGCGTGCACGTCGGGCGACTCACGTTTTTGGCCACTTTGCACACGTCCACCAAAGCGTGCGAGTGTTGAGTATGAAGCTGCAAATAAATTTTAGCAAGTAGGTGGATTCGCAAATAAAGGATCTGTGAATAACGGATCACAAGTCCTACGGTGTCCACATGGGCAAGGCAGCGGACGATCTTTTCAGTTCTAGTTTCCAAGCTGGAGTGTCCTTGTGAGTGGTTTTACTTGTGGATGAGGCTGGTTTCACTTGGAAGATCTAGCCAGAATGCTGAAGCTAGGGAGAGGCTGGTATTTTGTATTAAAATCTTCATGGGGTGCCTGGGTGGCTCAGGAGGTTGGGTGTCTGCCTTCTGCTCAGGTCATGATCTCGGAGTTCTGGGATCGAGTCCTGCCTTGAGCTTCCTGCTCAGCGTGGAATAGAGTCTGCTTCTCCTCCCTCTGCCCCTCTCCCCTGCTCATGCTGTCGCTCGCCCTCTCGCTCTCTGTCTGGGGCTGGTTGGGAGGGGAACATGTCACCAGTCGACTACCCTGGCGAGGCGGTCATCTGCCTGGGAATGCACAGCTCCTGGGGCAGCTGCTCCCTTTCCGGACAGCCGGCAGAAAGTGCTCCCACCGCCCACTCTGGTTGTGCAGGACATGTCCCTGGAGAACATTTGCTCCCACCCTCCTTCGGACGGCTCTCCTGTAGGCTTTTACGGGACATGGAGGCAGATTCCCTTGTGTCCGGCCTGGGCACAGCCCGCCACTCGGGTTCCTGCACCCGAGCCACTTGCGGCCGGGTGTCTGTGCGGGTCCCCAGCCCTGACCAGACCAAGGAGAACAGTAGACACTGCCGGGCTCCCCAAGGACAACTCAAGGTCAAGGCCTTTGCCGCCTCCCAGCCATCTGCAGGAGAGACCCTGCCGGGCGCTTTTTGTCTGTGAAATACTCACCCCCGCGAGTCTAGTTAGCCAACATTCCCGCACCTCCCAGGGAGGACAAGAGGATATTTTTTCTTGCGGTAAGAACGTTAAAGGTCTACTCTTAGCGAACCTCAAATGCCCAAGACGGTATTGTCAGTGTTCACCTTCTAGCGGGAGCCCTGGGCCTTTGACCACCGTCACCCTCTCCTCCTGTTTCCTTTGTTTTCCGCTGCTTTGCCGCTTGTCCTCGTCTCCCCGGGGCCTCTCGTGAACAGCCATGTTCTTTGCTCAACCGCCGAGGGCCCCGCCGTGGGCGCCACGGGGGTCTCACCCGCTATCATTTTCAGGGTCCTCCCTCCAGAACATAAGGCGTCAGAAGCATGTCTGGTAGAAATGAGTTTATTACAAATCAGTGAGATACAGGGTCTAAGAGTGCCCGCCCCAAGCTCCCCAGATGCTCCCAAAACATCAGCGGCATGAAAGCAAGGTGCACAAAGCAGGAACTAAGGTTTCTACGATGCTGCTTCGCATGCACTGGTCCCCACAGGAGACACAGAGGGTTCGGGGGAACACTCCCGAGGGTGGAAATGCATTGTTCCTAAGCGGGAAGGCAGCGGTGGCAGCAGCAGTCCTCCAGGCCAAATCACGACCTACGTCCTCTTCCTAGCTCTCTGCCTGCACAGGGACAAGCACGGATAGTGGCTGGGAAGACTGGCTGCTGCCTGCTCGAGGATCGGTGACACAGGTTCGGGGGAGAGCGAGGCTCCCGCTCTCGGCAGAGGTGCCCTGGAGACGCGAGCGGGTCCAGGAGCCGCCTTAACCGGGGAACTTGGCCAGGCGGCGCCGAGCCTGGGCCAGCCGCGCCAGCCGCTCCTTCAGGAACTTCCTCTTGTCGCTGGTGTCACTGCGTTCCTTAAGGAGCCAGTTGTAGGTGTCCTTGTCCTGGAGCAGCTGCAGCATGGCCTTCTGCAGCTTCTGCTCGTACACTTGCAGGATGAAGTACTGGATGATCAGTGGGATGTGGCTGGAGATGCGCGTGGTGGCCTCCTGGTGGGGAAGAAGAGGTCACGGTCACCGTCACGGAGGGCTGAGGGGCCCACGGGAGCCTGTGAGTGTCGGGCACGGCTGGGCAGGTGCACGCCCCCGGCTGGGCCTCCCACCCAGCAGTGTCCTCGGGGGAACCCCTGGTGCAGGGAGCGCCCCAGCCCCGACGCCGCCTCCCCCGCCCAGGAGTCCTGAGCACTCGTGTTCCTTCTGATCAGAGAGGATAAAATGGGCTTGTAAAGGGTAAATGCACAGACTGAGAACAAAAACTCCAATTTCAATGGATTTGCAGCTCTGCTGGAAAGATTGTAGGACTTGGTTTTTAATCCACATGAAAATTATTTAGCAGAAAAAAGGGCTGGGCTGTCAAAAGCCACAGAGGGGCGTCCTCTGCTGTCTCTGCATGTCCGACATCAGTGTCAGCCCTTCCTCCTCCTTCCTCCTCCTTCCTTTCACCCTCCCTCCTTCCTCCCTCCTCCCTCCCTCCTTCCGTAGGCCCCACCTGTTACTGAAAAGCCTCCTGAAACAGGCTGATGTCCCTTCCATGTCCCTGTGCCTCCGTTTCCTCCCCCAGAAAATAGAGTCTGAGAACCTGGCCTCACGAGATGGTTAAAAAGATTAAACAAGCTGAAAGGGAAAGTTGGAAGAGAGTCAGGCGTGGACTAGGCACTAGGTGAAGAACACCCGAGAGGCCATGCAGCAGAGCTGGGACACAGCTCTGGGCTCCAGGGTGACAGTTAGCGAGGGATGTGGCCTGCCACCACAGCAGGCGGAGGGAAGGGGACAAGGAACGAGCGGGAGATCCCCCAGACGGGCCATGTTTGCGGGAAACCATCTCTCCGGTAATGGAGAAGAAATTTCTGAGTGGTGACAGTCAGCTGCCTTGGCCCTTACCGACCCACGGGGCCATTGTGCCAACCCCTGACCTAGGGACACCTGCCCGATTTCACAATGAGAGCACCAGGGAGACAGATGGCTACAGGGACACCTGCGTCCTGACCATAGAACAGCACAGGCCCTCATGCAGCAAAGGGGAGTTGAGGACGCAGATGGGGTTGAGATCGTCAGCTGATGTTAAACTAGGGAGAGTATCCTGCATTTTCTGGAGGGCCGGGTGCAAAGGAGGGAGGCAGGCCGCAGATTCGGACGGCGTGCGGTCTGGAAGGAGGTCGGAGATGCAGCATTGCCGCCTTTGAAGATGGAGGAGTGGCCACGCACTGAGGACCACGGGCGGCCTCCAGAAGCTGCACGAGGCAGAGACAGGTTCTCCCCTGGAACCTCAAGGGGGAGCACAGTTCCACTGAAACCTTGCTTTTAGCCACGGAGGATCATACTTAAATGGAGAAAAGTAGCATTCTCATTAGATTCAGACAAGGTGAGGCTGCCCTCTGACTCCCTGGTTGTTTCCAGTTGCACTAAAAGGATCGGAAGCGGGAGCTCCGGGCGTGAAACTGGAAAGGGAAGGGGGATGGGAAGCTATCGCTATGTGCCACACGGGGAGGGTTTGTTGGGAAAACGCACAAGAATCAGCTGCAGAGACCATATCCGACAGCAAACAGAAGACAAAACGGAAAAAGTGTGCCCAGTCTACGCAAAGAGAGCGTTGAAACACTTCCAAGCCTCCCCCAAAAGGAGATCTTCAAGAGGAGAGACCCTCGATATTCCTGGACAGAAAAATCTCACATCATGAGGATGTCGAGTCTCCTTGGCAGACCAGCAAAGGAATATAAGCGCCGTGAGCATGTCAGCGGCTCTCGTCTCACCCGGAATGGGATAAGCTAATCCGACAATTCATACTGAAACGAACAAACGAGAATGGCGGAACATTTCTGCCCAAGGCCAGGCCAGGTAGGACCACAGACCGCATTGCCTGCCCATGTTCTCAGCAGCATCATCCGGCCCGAAGGGACAGACAAGTGAAATGTGCATGGACAGACGAGCGGATAAACCGGATGTGGTCGGTCCCTACGATGGAAAGTCACTCTACTCTAAAAGGAAGGCGTTCTGGCACGTGTCCCAGCAAAGACGAGCCTTGAGGACATTATGCCATGTAAAATAAGCCAGACACGCAGGGACAGAGATTGCACAGGTCTACTTACATGAGCTACCTTGAATACGAAAATTCACAGAATTGGAAGGTAGAATGGGGGAGGATCGGGGTGGCAGGAGGGGATGGCGAACTCCGTGTTTCATGGGGACGGGATGTGGACCGTACTGGAGGCGGACAGGGGGGACGGCTGCATGACAGTGTGAATGTGCCTAAAGCCGCTGACCAGGACACATAAAGATAGTTAAGATGGTAAATGTTACGTGATGTATATTTTACCGCACTATTTGGGGATATCAGCTACACTAAACATTTAAGACTTGTATAAAAAGCTGCACATGTAGTCATGTGCCGTCCTAAGTCAGTAATTACTGACTTAGGAAAGGAAAAGTAAACCAATAGAAGAGAATTCGGGATCTAGAAAAAAGAGCCCAGGACACAGAGGAGGAGGGTGACTGATTAAAGGCATTATTACACACCAGCGGGCCTGGGATAGGGTCTTCAAGTGATAGTTCAAGGACAACCAACAGCCATCTAGAGCAAGCCTCATTCTGGACACCATGTAATTCCAAACGCATCACAATTGAAATACAAAAGTTGAAATGTTATATTACTTTTAATGTATAGACTTTGTTTCTAAATCTCAGAGACAAAGTCCAGCGGCGTTAGTGGAGACATTTCTACAAAAAGTTCGGAAGCCCCACAAGGAAATAACTATTGAGCCCAACTCAGAAATCTAGAAAACGCCAGCATGGTCTAAAACCACCAAAAAGAAAGTCACCAGGCAGATGACAAACTCTGGGATATTTGCACCACAAATCGCCAAGATCTGAGACCGTGCTCTGCAGAGAATTTCTGCCAGAAGCACAGTTTCCTAAATAGGGAACCGAAATAGCTCTTGCGCTGTGAAACCACACCCCACCTCATTGTAATAAGAGAAAACACAACAAGAGCTCATGTTCGACCAGTCGCCATGTCGAGAAGCCAACAACTTCAGTGGAGAGCAGACTGCCAAGTGTGGGATGAAGCAGGCCATCTGTGGGGGAGAATTCCTCAGTGTAACGGAGTGTGCTACTTTCGTACATCACTGTGGCCTGGTCAAATCTCTCAGTTACTCAATCAAATGCTAACTTAGATATTTCTGTATTTTGTAAATGTGTTAACATCTCCAGTCAGTTGACTCTGAGTAAGGGAGAGTATCTGAGATCACAAGGGTGGGCCTCATCCAATCCGTTGAAGGCCTTAAGCGCCAAACAGAGACTTCCTGCAGAAGAAGAAAGCTTTCCCTTGGACGGTGTCAAGAGACCAGAGAAGGACCTCTTTTGGGGAGAAGGGAGGGCTCAGGAGGGGGTGGGTGGGGGACATCTTCCACCATCAACTCATTCTCCTCTCGGGATTCTCTCTGTCTGTGCATTGCCTCCTCTAAACGTCTCTGTGAGGCCCATAACCAGACAGGTAGTAGGCTTAACTGCGGGAGACGCCAAGGTGCATGGGTGCCTCCTGGCTGGCCCTTCACAGGACTCACTCACGTGGGCACACATCACAGCGTCTGCAGGGAATGGAGTCTGACCGTCTCTGCCCCATAGCAAGGGCATCCCCTGGGAGCCATTAGAGGCGCACAATCCTCACCCCACCTCACACCTGCAATCCACATCTGCATGACTGCCAGATCCCGGGAGACCTGCCTGCGCTGCTGAATTCGAAAAGCCTGAAAGCATCCACATACTGACTTGATGGAGATATCTGGTAAACGGAAAGATGCCTATTTGCTTTACCTGTCCAGACCCCCACCCATCGCAGCGGCTCTGAGGTGGACGTCCTTCCCCAGCATCGACACTGCTTTTCACTTTAGTTGAAATGGACAGCAGCCATCAAAGCATGTATCTCTGTGAGTCGCTTCTACTGGGCACACGGCCATTGCCCACCAACACTGAGCAGAGGGTCCTACCCGTGCTTATCTCACTGAAGATTCACGAGAACTGGGAGGAAATACCACTTTACAGAGAAGAAAGCTGAAGCTCAGAGAGGTCAATTAACCTGGCCAGGGCCACACAGTCTGTCCGTACCAGAAGTGGGTGGCTCTGAGCCCCGGCCTCTGCTCACCTCTCCGAGGCGCAATGTCTCCACGGAGCTCCCGGAAGGGCCTGGAAGACGAGCCGACTGGTGGTCACCATGCAGAGACCGGTAGGCCAAAGAGGCATTCACGAGACAAGGACACAGACTGAAAACCAGCCTTTGGAGGTGCCCACGGGCTTACCTGACGGTACGCCATCAGATGCTCAAAGATCTCAGACAAGGAGATGTTTACTAGAGAAAGTTCTTCGGTGGTCATCATGCTGTTTATCTTTTGGTTCTTCTTTCCCTCTTCCGACTCCTTCTCTCGGACCCTCTGCAGCGCCCGCTGGTACACTTGGTCCTGGCAGTAGACGATCTGCTCCATTTGGAAGTGAAGGCGGATGGACTTCTCGGCTTCCTCTTCTAGCTCAAATTTAATGTCCTCAATTTTGGACTGCAGCAAGAGAGAAGCACAACAACGGTCCCTCAGAAACAGATCACAGGCGCGAGAAAGGAGGTCCTCCTCAGAGCCCATGGCCGGCCGGCTCCCAGGTGAGCCAAGACAGCACCCCACGCTGGCTTGTCTAGGATGGGGCTCCCACCCTGGCCGGGTGCAGAACCTCCCAGGAGCCTGGACGCCCCTCCTGAAACCCAAATGGGCTGGCTTGTGGGCCCAAGATCTCAGCTTCTATCTTTCTCTTTGGGGGGGCTTTCCCATCGAATCAGGACTATAGGCCCCATCGGAGAGCTCACGGGGATAAGAGTGGGGCCAAAAATTTAAGTCAGTTCAATTCTGCATGCTTCATGTCCTTACAGTTTGAAGAAACTGGCTGGGGCGTCGATCTCTCACACAGAAAATATCTGGACTCCCCAGAACTCACATTCAGGGCCACCAAGTGTGACGCATAGTGCTGGGGGCACCCCAAGCCCCAAACATTTTATTCTGTGTTCATTCCAGAGGTCCAGGCAGCAGAAGTAGTCCACCACAAGCCCCCCAGCCTGTGCAAGGCCAAGCTAATCTCCCCAGCGATGCTGGGTGCTGGGGGGCAAGGTGTGTGTTCCCCAAAATTCACAGGTTGGAAGCTTAATCCCCAGTGTGATGGCATGGGGGGGCACTTTAGGGGGTCAGGCCTGGCCAGTGAAGCCCTTATAGATGGGGTCAACGCCCATCTAAGAAGAGACCGCAGAGTGCTTTCCTTCTCCCTTACTCTCCCCCTCCTTCCCTCAGGCCCTCCCTCCCTCCGGCCCTCCCTCCCCGACCCCGTTCTGTCTCCCTCTCTCTCCTGAGGATACAAGGAGAAAGCGGCCACGACAAGCCATGAATCGGGCCCTAGCAGATGTGGGATCTGAGCATCTCGATCGGGGCCCTCCAGCCTCCGGAACGTGAGGGTTCAGTTACTATCACGTAAGCCGGCCAAGGCCACGCTCTGGGCCACGTGGGCCCGGGCTGACCCGGGGGCAGCCCCTGTTTCTAAAAGCGGACCAGGGACTCTCGGAAGACACCGGCGTCCCTGCGGCTTCCGCAGTGAGTTTCAAGGTTAAAGCCGTTGTGACCAGAGGCGACGGTGTTCCACGGGAACTATGGGTCTCCTTTGTTCTAGTGGTTTTGAGGGTCTGGTTTCTATCCCCCGTCTCACTCTTCAGCTGGCCTTCCTGCTTCCCACCAGACCTCACCGGCAGGACCACCGGTCGATTTCACTACCGTGCGGGACTCTTCGCTTCTCCAAACACCCAGTAAAGTCGAGACGGTCTTAACCCAAGAAATCTGTTTTCCAGCATCAGGCTGACATTATTATTATTACTATTTTTTAAATAACATGCGGTCAGTTTTACCTTGGTAGTTCGGTAGAGGTTGAAAAATTCATCAAAGTTTGCTTTCGAAATATCCGTGAAGGCAGCCTGGACCATATCTGAGGAAAAAACAAGATTCATTCATAATCGTACACTGCCAAAAAAAAAAAAAAAAAAAGAGGGTGAAATATCCAGATATGAAGTTTCCTCCCCTCCCTCCTGCCCTGTCTTCCCGTTCAGGGCCATCTGCCGTGCCCTTTTTGCTGGTGGCTCTCTGGCTTAAAGTCTAATTGTCCCCTGGCGTATTTCGGTGACATTTAAACATTGCAGCCTGGGGCGCCTGGCTGGTGCGATTGGTTAAGATTCCAGCTCTAGGTTTGGGCTCAGGTCCTGATCTCAGGGTCCTAGGATCGAGCCCCACATCAGGCTCCACGCCCCACAGAGAATCTGCTTGGGATTCTCTCTCCCTCTGCCTGTCCCCCTTCTTGTGCTTTCTCCCTAAAATAAATAAAATCTTAAAAAAATTTTTTTTCACCCTAGATAGAGATAGTTGCAAAGAATGTAATCTCTGGTACGTTATAACTATATAAATATTTTATAGTAAGACACAGCACTCTCACATACATCAATGGGCTCTAAATGGCCATGTTATTTATTTGAAAAAAAAAAAAACATGAACATGCTCTTATCATCAGAAAATTTACATTTTTTTTTAAAGATCTTATTTACTTATTTGACAGAGAAAGAGACAGCAGGAGAGGGAACACAAGCAGTGGGGGTGGGAGAGGGAGAAGTAGGCTTCCCACCAAGCCAGGAGCCCAATGTGGGGCTCGATCCCAGGGCCCTGAGATCATGACCCGGGCTGAAGGCAGACACCCAATGACTGAGCCCCCCATGCCCCATCATTATATCTTTATTTTTTTGTATATTTTTAGTTTTTGAAACTCCTCATATTTCCATTGGACTTCCTGACAAAATTTTGTCCTAATACGATGTGCAGCATCTTTATGCTTGAAATTTTCTTTTAGGTAGGCTACACACCCAGCATGGAACCCAGCGCTGGATTTGAACTCATAACCCTGAGATGGAGACCTGAGCGGGGATCAAAAGTCAGACTCTCAGCTGACCCAGGCACCCTGAAAATCTTTTCCTGACTCCACATCTTGTCTTCCTGAAACAGAGGGAGGTGTATATACATATATGTTTCAAAGTTTTTGTCTATGACTGTAAGGCTCTATCAACACAACACAATGACCAGTTCTGATACACAATTATTAAGACTCAAGGTAAAATTGGATTAGAAATACATCTGTTAGGGTGCTGTCATGGGACAGTCCCCAACCTCTATGGGTTCATGGATCCATAAATGATTATTACTTCCTGCTGAAACGAGACAGTTGAGGCATGAGTGAAATATGGCGTCAGCCACGGTGGGGACAGAGAAAAGAGATTCGGTGACAGAGAGCATGGCAGTTACAGGAGACAGGAGCCGTCGGTCCTAGGGAGAGCTGCGTCTCTCCTCCGTGGCTGCTGGTGCTCTCCCACCTGCCATGACAGTTAGAGCACCTAGACTCACGCGGCCTCGAGAATCTCAGAACTATCCACGATGGACAGTTCTTTAGCGGTGAAACATGATCCTCAGAGGTGTCAAATAAATGCAGGATTTGGAGTCTGTGAAGAAATCACAGCTCTGGAACCACCTGGAGGTGTGGACAGTAAGACAAAGGTATCTGGTCTGTGCTCCTGGTTCCTGACACGGAGTTCCTAAACTCCTCACAGTCTCCTGGGTGGTAGGAATATCTCTCGTTCTAACGAGGTGACCCTTGGTGGGCCCTGGACAGTTTCAAGACGGGGGGCCTGGTCACCAGAAAGATCACGCCTGGAGGAGAAGCCTGGAACTTTCAGCACCCCCTTGCTACCCCTGGGGAGGGGGGAAGGGGCTGGAGATGGAGCTGATAATTGATTATGTCTTTGTGATCACTGATTACACCTCCTTTAAATCCCCTAAGTGACAGGGTTCAGAGAGCTTCCAGGTTGGCGAACATACCCATGGGCCAAGAGGGTGGTACCCCCCAAGACAGGACAAAAGCACCTGCCCTTGGGACCCTCCCAGACCTCCCCTATGGATCTCTTTCATTCACATCCTTTACAGTAAACTGGCAAAGGTAAGTACATCCTTTAAGATAAATCAGCAGAGATAAGTAAAGTGTGTTCCTCATCCTGTGAGCTGTTCTAGCAAAGTATAGAACCTGAGGAGGAGGCTATGTGAACTCTAATTAGTAACATGTCCATTAGAAGCATGAACAAGGCGGAGAGGTCCTGAGGGGCTGAGCCCTTAAGCTGGAAGATGGGTGCTAACTCAGGGTCAGAACTGAATCGAAATGTTGAACCAGAGAATTAATCGGGTTCTTGGGAGGTTAAGAAACACCGCAGGAGGAGAGCTGTGGAGGTCAGCACTGGTTTGGGTGCAAGCCTTTCCCTCCCCTGGAAATAAAATGTCTAAAAGCAAAATCAAGAACTCACCCGTTACCGTGTGTAGCATATCCACAGCAGGTTCCTCCAGTTCTTTGATTTGCTGTTTTATGATAATCTCAAACGTCTTGTAATTGACAAACCCTGGCAGCTCTCTGCCACGATACCGATTTTCAAATTTCTCTATTTGTTTATATATAGCTTTGTAACCTGGAAAAGAAGGATTTGGAGTTATTTTACAAACGGAACCTTGGGGGTTTTTTTGTTGTTGTTGTTTTGTTTTTGTTTTTTTAATACAATATCATTCTGGACTTTCTGAAAACACAGAGAGGCAAGGGAAAAAAAATCAAATCTGATTTGCAAATGGAAAAAAAAAATTCAGGGTTTGCAGTAAAAAAATGGATCTCAAGACCATTTTCCTGAAGTCATCTCAAGGCGGCAAGTGTGGAGCCAGTGTGTGCAGTCAGAGGACAGTGAACCATGGGAGAAGGGGAGAAGGGAAGAGGAGGAAGGAAGGAATTTCCTCTTGGGGAAGAAATTCTATAGCTGTTTACCAAAGAAATTGTATCACCATCCAGAATCCGTGACTCATCACATATCCAAGTATCCACGTACAACAGCAGGAGTAGAAATTGTTCATAGATCAGAGGAGACAAGAGAGTAACCAGATATATAAGATCACTGTTTGCTACATAAAACACTTTGTTTCTTCTTTATACTTTTGCAATTTTTAAAATTCCCAACAAAGTGGACTATGGAGGATATTTCCGCTGGTGCAAGATCAGAGAGCTCTGGTTCCTCTTTTTGAAGAACTAACCAGGAATCGTGGTCTGGGTCTCCTCTTTTCTTCAGGAGAAATTTTCTCATGGGCATTTTTTTTTTAAATTGTGATATACTTCACATACTATAAAATTCACCCTAATAAAGTGTAGAGTTCAGTGATTTTTAGTGCATGAGGGACATGGTGTAACCATCCCCACCAGCTAATTCTCAAACACTTCCATCATTCCAAGGAACCCTGTGCCCATCAGCACGCGCTCCCCACTCCCCGCCCCCCACAGCCCCTGGAAACCACTAATCTACTTTCTATCTCTATGGATTTGCCTGTTCTTGACATTTCATATCAACGGAATCAAAGATTCTGGGGCTCTCTGTGTCTCACTTCCTACACTTAGCATGATGGCCTCAAGGCTCATGCATGTTGCACCAAGTTCAGTGCTCCATGCCTTTCCACGGCTGAGTAATATTCCATGGTCTGCTGTCAAAGGCTGAATTGTGACTCCCCAAAATGGGTATGTTTCAAGTCCTAATCCCTAGCACTTCAGAAATGTGATTGTGTTTGGAGATGGAGATGATCAAATCCCATCTGACTGAGGTCCTTAGAGGAGGAAAGCAGGACACAGACCCACACAGGAAAGTCACAGGGAGAAGGCGGCATCTACAAGCCAAGGAGAGAGGCATCTGGAGAAACACATGTTAGTCATCCTAGCAGGTGTGAGGGGGCTCTCCTGTGGATTTGGTTTGCGTCCCACTGAGTCTATACCCGTGCCTCTGAGCCATCTGTATTTCTCCTTTTAGAGATATGTCTACTCTAATCCTTTGTCCATTTTTAATTTGGATGATTTGTTTTTTTGTTGTTGAATCTGAAGAGCTCTTTGTATATTCTGGATACGGGGCCCTTACAGATGTGCGATTTGCAAATATTTCCTCCTGTTCTGTATGGGGGGGAGGGGTGCTGTTTGACACACACAAGTTTTTAACCTTGATGAAGTCCACTTTGTCTGTTATTCTGTTGGTCATCCATGCTGTAGGCGTCCTGTCTAAAATCCGCCGCCTATCCAAGGACATGATTCAAATCTACACTTTCTTCTAGGAGTTTTACTGTTCTAGGGCTCACATTTTGGTTTCTGAGTCATTTTGAGTTTATCTTTGCATAAGGGGGGACGTAGGGGTCTAAATTCATTTACCTGCATGTGGGTGCCCAGTGCTTTGCAACTGATCATTTGTTGGGAGGAATTTAGCATCTTAAAAAAATAAGCTAATTTTTCAAGGGCTATGTACTGTCATAAACTTGCTGAGCGATGGCTGCGTGGGGGGGCTGCCAGAGGTCAGGACTGTTGTCTCCTTGAAAGGGACAGCGGTCCCTCCCTGATGGAAGATCACATCACACGGCGGTGTTCAGCCGTCTGTGCTGTGGGGTTAGCTCCAGTAGCAGCGTGGGAGCTGTGCGGATGGGGCGAGGGACGGCCCCATTTTTCCAACAAGAAATGCTGTTATTTATCTCCTCCTGCCCTCTGTACCTCCTCCAAGGAACAAGCAGGACTGAGAGGTATGGCCTTTGAATTGTGTAAAAAATGCATAAGGGATCTTTCTCTGTCCCGAACTCAAAGCCAAGGACAGTGGTCAAAGGGAAAGTCTGGTCAGCAGAAATAAGTCATGGTGTGTCCTCTGCGGGTGTCGTCTGAAATCCACAGCTGACCCCTGCTGGCCCGAGCTCAGGGGGCTGGGCTGGGTCACGTGTGGCCTCCACACCCCGCGCCCCTGCACCCCCTCACCGGCATCCATACCAGCCGCACCCCCTGCCCCTCTGCGACCTCCCCACTCCAGCCGGCTCTCCAGGTCACCGATGGCACCCCGGACTCACCTTTCTGGAACGCCTTCTCAATCACAGTGCTCCATTTGTGGAACTCATTCCGGATTTTGGTAAAAAGCCGACTCTCATTCTCTCCCACAGACTCCTCCCCTTCGATCAAGGACTTGATGTCATGGCTAAAGGCATTAATTTTCTGCCAACAAGGAGAGCATAAGGGTAGTGGAGGTATTTCAAACACACGTGGGGGCATTGGGAGGTCTCGTGGAGGCAGAAGGCAGGTGAGTCTCTCCTTGCCCCCTTCCAGGGGTGACAGACCCCCGCAGCCTGCCCTGACTGCCTCGGGGTCTCAGGGAGCACGCGTGACACCTGTCACTCACTGCCCACCGTCCCTCCGCCCCAGCCCCTCTCTGGGGCCAAGTAGGCAGACCGAGCCTGGGTCAGCTTTCGGGGAGCAATAAGAAAGTGCATGAGGCACAAGATCCCTTTCTGGACAAAGATGTGTGACTCCTGGACTTGTGGCGATGTGCGACACTCACGTCTATCAGAAAAAACATCTTCTCGTGCTCGTCTTCGGGCACATCTGAGCCGTACTTCTGTAACTCCTCCGTTATTTTCTCATGGTTTTCCTTTATCTGATTTTCAAGCAGGGGCAGAGTTTTCTGAGGAAAAGAGAAAATAAGGCACAGACATGAATATGGACCGGGAAGGAGCGGGAGCTCCCAGGCCTCCCTCTGCTGGGTATACCTGACTGCCTGGCTTCCTCTTGAGAGAAGATGGGGGGAGAGTGTTAGCATGTGCTGATGCCACCAAGCCCTTCCCATGTCCCCGCTCTCCTGGGGGACAGCCTCAGGGAGGCACAGAGGCTACCACTCTGCGTGGAGCCTGCCCCCATCGGAGAAGGATCGAGCGGTTCTGTGATCACGTGACAACCACTCTGCCAGCAGATTAGAAAGAGCCGCTTGTCTCATGGGCTCTGAAAAGGCGGCCGCTGGAGCCATTTGAGATCCAACCGCTTTCCTGCTGTCCACAGATGAATGTTACTGGGGACTTCTGTGCCTGACAACATGGTGGATAGCAGGCACCACCTCCCTCTTCCACCGCAAACATCAAAAAATGCCGGCTGAGGGGTGCCTGGGTGGCTCAGTGGGTTAAAGCCTCTGCCTTCGGCTCAGGTCATGATCTCAGGGACCTGGGATCGAGCCCCGCATCGGGCTCTCTGCTCAGCAGTGAGTCTGCTTCCTCCTCTCTCTGCCTGCCTCTCTGCCTACTTGCGATCTCTGTCTGTCAAATAAATAAAATCTTAAAAAAAAATGCTGGCTGACATGGGGAAAGCACCGCTGGAAATGCATCTGTGGGTGGACAGGGGCAGGACAGACACTCGGAGGCATGGCTGGGTGACGTAGGAGACCGGGGACAGAAGAGGAGAGCCAGATTTGGCCTCAAGGGGTATTCGTTGCAAAGAAAAGGACTTGGCTGGGGCTAAGAATAAATCAGGTGGGCTTGCTGGAGGCAAGGAGTCCAATGAGCTGGCGTCTTCCTTCTACATAAAGCCGGGATGCCAAAGAGCCAGGCTCTCAATGTGTGGGTCGGCTAGGAACAGCCCCGCCCTCCCTCCCCATTTTCGTGGATTGCACGGGACACCTGTGACCACGAGCCAGCCCTCAGACAGGTGTGCCGCCCAAATCTGCACTCCCTGAGGCCTCAAGCAGAGAATTGGCAGGAGGCCCTTCCGAGGGGCTGGCAGGAGCCAAGGCTGCCTCTCCCTGGAGAAACAGATTTCGAACCTGGGGTTCTCTGAGTGGCCACAGATCCAGTCCCAAAACAGGCCCAGAGTCAAAACCCGAAGCCCGGGCGTCGTAGGGGGTGACCAGCAGAATCCAGGACACCAAGGCCTCTGACCCGGGAATTATCAAGCGCAAAATGCAAGAGAGATGTGTGCCAAGAAATCTATTTAAGGGATCGCAGACGGGAAACAGCAAGAGATTCTGTCCAGACAAATTCTGAGAAAGAACCCCAGAGAGACCTAAAATATGAAATACTACGATCATCTCAAAGACCAAGGCGTTATGACAGTGGCCGGTAAGGAGAAAGGGAACGTGGGTGCAGGGCCCGTAAGATTTTCATTTTTAATTAGGCTGCGTGGATATCGTCTGCGAGCTCCCACCCAACGTGTGGTCCTCTGACGAGCAGCGTCCACAGCACCTGGGAGCTTGCTGGAAAGGGAGAGCTGCTCTGGAGACCCGAGCAGACCCACTCCTGCAATGTCGCCCGCCCCCGGGGTCGTCAGTGGGTCACTCAGCCTGCACGGCAGAGCTTTGGGTTTGTGGTCAGAAAACGGACCACTGTGCCCGTGCTTACACAGATGTGCATGATGAGCTCGGAGGTCAGCTTGTCTGCCAGGCAGGGGACTGTGGCCCTTCCTTCCTCCAGGAGAACCCTGCGGACAGAGCAGAGGAGACGGTGCACACATCCACCTTGGCGTGGCCAGAAAATGGGAGTCAGCTTTCTGCTGCCCACAGAGTCAAGCGACTTCCAGCGGGCACCCAACTGATGGGCCGCATGGGCGCGCATGGAATGAGGTTGCCTTCGTTGGACTTATTTCGGATACTTCGAGTGGTAGAGGGCTGTACGGAAGTCTTGAGTCACTGTCCCGTACACCTCAAATGAATGCAACACGGGGGCCTCTGTGGCTCAGTGTGTTGTGCATTCGACATTGGACCTCAGCTTGGGTCTTGATCTCAGGGTTGTGAGTTTAAGACCCGCGTTGGGCTCTGTGCTGGCCTTGGAGCCTATTTAAAAAAAAAGGGGGGGACAGGGGCACCTGGGTGGCTCAGTTGGCTAAGCATCTGCCTTTGGCTTGGGTTGTGAGTGCCGGGTCCTGGGATTAAGTCCTGTGTCTGGCTCCCTGCTCAGTGGGGAGCCTGCTTCTCCCTCTCCCTCTGTCTCTCCCTCTGCCCATGCTTTCTCCTTCTCTCTCTCTCTCAAATGAATAAAATCTTAAAAAAAAATAGTACAGGTGACCCATTCCAGCTGATATATTAAGTGTGTCTCATGACCTCTGGCTATAAAAACTGGTTTTTATAAAAATGCACGTGGTCACCTACAAATGAGTTTTCATAACACACACACACCCTTCTGTGTGTAATACGTGCAAATCTATGGATACGTGGTGGCATCGGTCTTCACAAAAACACACTGATGAGTGCCTACAGAGGAGCGTGGAGGACACTGATGTAGGGGACACACCCTTCCCCAAGACCAGAGCTTAAACCTCAAGATGCTTGGAGGAAGGAAGGCCTATTCTCGTTGTACACAAATCTGTGTTCGCTGAGTGATTACAGGATTCCTTATATTTTAAAGGACTTTTTCCGGACTTTTATTTTACAGGGCAGCAGGGAACCATGATTTTACGAGCCTGTTTGTGAGGGTACACTCACGGCTAAGTATCAGTTTCCACACCTGTCAGTTTTTTAATTGTGCTAAAATGTACATAAAACTGACAATTCCCCGCTGCGCCCCTGATTGATAATCAGACTAATGCGGCCATGATTTGAAAGGCCACATGTATCATACATCAAATACGTGTACCTGGGTCAGCTTCTGGGCTTTCTGATTTTTCCCCCCTATTTTAAGGCATTTATGTTTTTATTTTGGCGGCAGCACCACACCAGAGAAATGACTGTAGCCAATTCCCTCCTTATCTAATCCTTTAAAGGCATTTCTTGGTAACTTTGTCAATTCCTCTTCTGGTCTTCCAGGGGACTCCCACCGTCATTGCCAAGGTGCAAACACTGCGGATGTCTGCTTTTGGACAGCAACCCTTCTCCCCAGGTTTTGGTTCGCCCTTGTGAAAACACGGCCAGGTACCTGAAATGTGGGTGGTCTTCAAAGAAGTCTCTCTCTTTCTGCAGAGCCTCGGCCAGGGTCACCTGGTCCTGGATGTCCTGCTGGCCCCGGCACTTGACAATCATGTAGCCCTTCTTCAGGTGACAGACAAGGTTCTGTGCCACGTCCACCACCTTGCTTTCGGTACCTCTGTCCACCAGGTCAGGCTTTGTCAAGATTCCTGCAAGCCGGAGTCTTCCGATTAGAGGCCTCGCACCACTCCCTCTCAGCCTGCTCGAGGGCACACAGCTGCCCCCGCAGGACCACCATGTGGGCAGAGCCCCTGGCCAGGGACCGAACCACTGCTTGGGCAGCACAAAGACCACGTGCCCCCGTGGGCGGCTGGGGGTGCTGGCTTTACCCAGGTCTTGGCCCTCATGCCAGAGGCACAGCAGCATGTGAAATGACCTTTTAATTTTCTTTCTGCCCAACGAAAGCGTTCATTCTCTATTGGGCTGGTTCTCAAACTTCCCTGTGCCGTAGAACCCCCTTCCTGAGGCAAATCTTAGAATGCAGGGTCTTGGGCTCTGCCCCGGAGACCCTCCCTTAGGGCATTTGGTGGGCCTTGCATTGCTAAACATCCTTTAGCTCTTTCTGATGCAGGTAGGGGAGGCGTGGCACACACCCGGAGAAGCACAGGTCCCCCCAGGACCAGCGGCCTCATCTGCTGAGCCCACCGCAAAGTGAAGGTTATCACCTACGGCTGTTAGGCTCTTCCGACTTCTTACCTATGGTCCTGTCTCCGTCGGGGTCCACCTCCTGAGCCATGCTCAGTGCCTCTGTGGTGGCGATGTCCACGTTGCAGGGGACCACCACCAAGTTGATTGTCTCCTGCCTGAGGATGTACTTCCTGATGAGCTGCTTGGTCTGCGGGAAAGCGAGACAGTATGTATGAGAACAAGGACAGGTCCTGACCTTGTAATTGCTTCGGGACCTCAGAGTCCCAGGGGTAGCTCCTCAAAAGAAATGAGGCACGAGCCTGGGTGGCATTGCCCGAACCAGAGTGATGAGAAACCAAGTTCACCGCAGCAGAAACAGAGCTCCGGGGTCAGGGGAGGGGTGGGGCGGCAGGGGTCGGGGACCACCAGATCTTAGCTCGCGAACCGCCTCCTAGGACTCCGCAGCTGATAACCACAGGGAAAAACAAGATGCCCAGACGTGCTTGACTGTGCCCTAAATCTTTAACCCCTTGGGTGGTATTCGCCAGTAAGAAGGTGTCATTATTCGTGTTTCTAATGCTTTCTCTCCCTACATAAAACCCCTTCCTAACACACACCGGCTTAGACACACCACCCGATGTAACTAATAACTAAATATGGGTCACCGTGGATACCCCACACACGTGTATAATGGATTTCTGGTTCTCTCTGTTGGCCTCAGTCTCCCCAGGAAGCCTCCATCAGACTCCAGCAAGTCAGATGGAGGCCATGGAGACCGCCTCGCTGTCCCAATCCTCCTCACCCTTCCTGATGTCCACTCTCCCGACTCAGCCCCAAGCCCACTGGTGTTTGGGGCACCACTCCACCCTCCGGAGCGAGGCTTTACCTGGCGTCCAATGTCGGCCGGCTGATTGCCCACGGCCACCCTGGTGATGCCAGGGAGGTCTATCAGGGTCAGATCCGGGACGTGAGAGGAGCTGACCTCCAGGTTGATGAGTTCATGACTGATCCCCTGTCCTTCCCCGGCAATGGCATTCTGGGCTGGGGAAAGGGAAAATGAGAGCAAGTCAATACAGCTTCGAGCGGAAGCATCTCCCTACAGCCAGTCCTCCCGCGCGAGTCACGGACAAGGCATACTGGGAGCAGACGCCCCTTTCTGGAGCTAAAAGGAACCTCAAAGGATAACTCAGTATCTTCTTTCCAGTGGCCAGAACTATCTCCAGAGAGAAAACATTTAGCGAAAACATCTCTCAGGATCACCCGACTTGAACCAGTCCAGAGCGGGGCAGACCTGCATTCTTACCGCTGTCACACTAAATCTTCCCTTTGATGCCAACAGGAAATTAACAATGAAGTAAAATGAAAGCAATTAAAAACACACGGGAACTCTTGAAACATGGTCTGGGAACTTATGGAGGGGAATTTTTCTTGTTGAAAAATTGATGAGCATTGGTATTCCCATACAGGATCTCATTCTGCTTCTTTCTCCTTAATGATGAAAATTTCAAGATATACATGTATTTCTGGGGGGCCTGGGTGGCTCAGTCGGTGAAGCGTCTGCCTTTGGCTTGGGTCATGACCCTGGGGTTCTGAGATCGAGTCCCATATTGGGCTCTCTGCTGAGTGGGGGAGTCTGCTTCTCTCTCTGTCCGTCCCCCTGCTCGTGCTCGCTCCCTCTCTCTCTCTGTTCAATAAATAAAATATTGTATAAAAAAGATAAAATGTATTTCATCAAATCGTTAGCTAACACCTCTGGACTCCTTTCCACAAATCCAGAATGCCTTTTTGGCTTGTTTTATAGCAAACAGGAACTCGGGGACAGGAGTGACGATGACAATGGTGTGTATGTCACCATTTATTACCCATGCCCCCAGTATCCATTTACCGGACATGCGGTCATGAGATTAAGTCTGGCCTATGGGATAAGTGTGACCAAGTCACAGGAAACCTCCAGAAACTCCACTGGGAAGACAGGAGAAGTCCCGTGTTGGTGTCCCTGGAGCTGGAACAGGGGCTTTCCGTCTAGATCAGGCAGCACTGGAACTGATGGCCACATACAATGGGGAAACAACAAGGGAGTCTGGCTCCTGATACTGGATCCCCCAAATTACCTCTGGGCTGCCTGCCTCCAGACATCTACGCGAGAGAGAAAAAAATGGGCAGATCACTCAAACCACCGTGTTAGCGACCCACTTGCCCAAATGGCCTCCAGATTCCCTGCCATCACTGTAGGCACGCTCTTCTACAGGGCGACCTTCTCCCATCCAGAGGGTGTCCCATGGGACCCCCTTTGGCTGACAGGACATCACAAAATGGATCCCAGGAGAGATCAAGAACTCGAGCACGGAGGATCCTTCTCTCTTGCCGCTGGGAACCACCCACCCCCCACATAAAAAGCCCAGCCTGGACTCTGGAGAAGGACGGCCACCACATGGAGAGAAGGCCTGGTCATTCCAGCCCTGGGCTTGGGTAGGTGACCCACGCCGTCCTAGGCTGCCCAGCTGAGCCATGGAACTGCGAGAAGCAAACAGCTCCAAGCCACGAGGTTTTGAGACCGGTTTGTTACGCGGGAAGGGCCAACTGGTACGCACGGTTGTTTTCTGCCCCAACGATCACAGAGTAACATTCTATCAAACATCCTTCAACTTCGGTAAAACAGTCTATCAATGCGACTTAGTGCCTCCACCTTCATAAAAACCAAACTCACTTTTTTCTGCTGCTGAATATGAGGTCATGCGGCTATGTACCCACCTCCAATAACTGAACCTTAATGGTGACAAACAAGGAAGAAAGTCAGGTCAACAAGGGGAAGGCCATTTATTTGCCCCGCTCAGTCCTAGAAGCAGCCAACAGGTCACTCTGGGTCCCGACCGTCTTCCAGCGCTATTTCTCCTTTCAGATGCTCTAAGACGGCTGAGTGATCGGTGTGGTTTGCATTCACTGAGACCCCCCATCTGTCAACCCGAGATAGGATTATGCACACGCGTGCATTTCACTCTTGGAAGAAAAGCCAGGAAAGGCTTCTAAAGAGGGTTCAGGTCAGGGCGCCTGGGTGGCTCAGTGGGTTAAGCCTCTGCCTTCGGCTCAGGTCATGATCTCAGGGTCCTGGGATCGAGCCCCGCATTGGGCTGTCTGCTCATCAGGGAGCCTGCTTCCTCCTCTCTCTCTGCCTGCCTCTCTGCCTGCTTGTGATCTCTGTCAGATAAATAAATAAAATCTTTAAAAAAAAAAAAAAAAGAGGGCTCAGGGATGGTCCAGAATGCCTTTTTACCAGGTGAACATGAAAGGGGTTCCCTGGCCCTGCACCCTGATCTTTCCTCCATCCCATCTGCAGAGTGGGAAAGACTTTGAGTAAGGGACAGATACTCCTTGTTTAAATTTTAAAATTCACATCACTCTCAGATACTTACAAACAGAGCAACGAATGGCTGAGGTCAGATTCTGTCCAAAGCGCTGGTCTTAATGGGGGTCAGAGAAGAGAAGCTACAAGGGAGCTGGGACCTGACGCAGATGTGGTTGGGGAGGGAGGGTTCCCAGGGGAGCAGGATGGGCCCAGACAGGGGAAGGTAGGAGCAGTGACGGATGGACCCCCTCCCACTTCACACAGGTGACCAGACGTCCAAAGAGGCGATAATGCACGGACATGAGGCCCTCACCTTTATTGATTTCCGCTTCCACCTCCGAGGGGTCTGAAATCTCCTTCTCGAAGTCCTGGTAACTCACTTTGCCCCTCCACTCGTCCTGGTTCGTGACCTTCTTCAGTTTCAGCACCAGAGGACATCTTGTAACAATCCCTGGAGACCATGTCCACATTAGTCCTGTCCTCTGCTTTTAGGGGTCTTAGAGGGTGGCCTTTGATTTTCCATAATCATCCAGGCAGACCACTAAAACCTCCTGGTCTCATTCTCTGATACTTGGACGCTTTACATCTGGGTGGCCTTAGAAATATGCATCTGGACTACACAGCCCAGGTAATTTTTTGCTCACTAATGCTTGAGAGTCAATACTCTATGCTTCTCCCATCATCTCAGCATTTTGCCATCAGCTCCAGTGGCACGCCAGTGTTTCAGAAACCACCAAACTCAGGCAAGTGTCCTCCATTATCCCCCAGGATACACTGTCCACTACCATCAGGAATGCATACTTTTCTCAACAGGCCTCCTCACCACTGCCCTCCTGCTATAAATTTCCAGATCCCACCCTCCTCTATATCTGACCTATATTTCAAGGCCCATCTCAGGTCTGTCACCTCCCCTGGAGCCCTCGTTATCCCTTGGCCTTGGCGCTCAAACAGCACCACTGACCAGAGCACCAGTCTTTACCTCCCACTAGGAGGGTCACTTCTTGAGAAGGGACTCAGGACAGACACCCATATGGTTCTGGGTGCCCAAATACATTTATGTAGACCTGCCACGAAGTGCAGTTTACATACAATACACATCAAAATGTGCCACATGAGGGTGTGTGGACTGAGTCATGTCCCACCTCCCATATTCATACCTAATCCCAATACGACTGCATTTGGAGATGGGGCCTTTCTTTAAAAGGGTAATTACGGTTAAATGAGGTCTTAAGAGTGGAGCCTTAACCAATATGACTGGCATCCATCCAAAAAAGAAAAGAGATCCCAGACATGTGTGCACAGACTGAAGGCCATATGAGGACACAATGATAAGATGGTCACCCGCGTGAGGAGAAAGGCTGTGGGAGAAACCATCCCAGTCAACACCTAGATTTTTGACTTCCAGCCTCCAGAACTGTAAGAAATAAATTTCTGCTGTTTTAGCCTCCCAATCTGTGGCATCTTGCTAGGGCAGCCTGAGCTGACTAATACACAGGACAGGTGCTTACCGCTGCCTCTGGGGAGAGCGACCCCCGACAGAGCCTCCAGCACGGAGCTCTTGCCTGAGCTCTGGTCCCCGATGACGGCGATGGCGGGCAGGGCCAGGTCCTGCTCCACGCCCAGGGCCCGCAGGGAGTCAATGAGGTCGATGCAGGGGCGCACCTTCTCCTCATAGTGGTTACACAGGCTGTTCTCGGGTTCCTAAAGAAAGCAGAATCAAAGAATTCCATCATGGCCTGCAGATCATTTTCTATCAAGACAGACTTCAATCAGCCTAATACCATAGGTTCATGGATCTCACAAAAGAGGACGGGAAAGGAACAGAAAGAAATATTAAAAGAAATAATTGATAAAAATTTCCCAAACTTGAATGATTAACCCAAAGATCCAAGAAGCTCAATGAACCCCAAGCATAGGAAACATAAACTACATCAAGGCCCATTTTAATCAAATTGCTTGAAACTAGTGATGGAGACAAAGTGATACAAGCAGGCAGAGAACATGTTAGGCACTGAAGAGCAAAGATTAGATGTACACAGCAGATTTCTTATCAGAAATAATCAAAGAAGAAGATAGTGGGAATAACATTTTTTAAATACTGGGGGGAATAATCCATCAACCTAGAACTATACCTAGCTAAAATATCTTTTTAACAAATGAAGACAGAGACTTTTTCAGACATAAAAAAGTGAATGAATTCCTCACCAGCAGATCAGCACCACAGGGAATATTAGAGTCCTTCTGCCGGAAGGAAAATGAGACTGAATGAAAATCTGAATCTACACAAAGAAATCTATGTCAGAAATGGTTACTATACTTTTTTTAGAATAACTTACATATCTTTATTTTTTTTATTTTTATTTTTATTTTTTTAAAATTTATTTGACAGACAGAGATCACAAGTAGGCAGAGAGGCAGGCAGGGAGAGAGAGAGAGGAAGAAGCAGGCTCCCTGCTGAGCAAAGAGCCCAATGCGGGGCTCGATCCCAGGACCCTGGGATCATGACCTGAGCCAAAGGCAGAGGCTTTAACCCACTGAGCCACCCAGGCACCCCAACTTACGTATCTTTAAAAGACATATGACCAAATAGAAATAATAAGAACATATGTTTGGGGTTTGTGATAGAGTCAAATTAAAATTTATGATAAAAATAGCATTAAGGCAGGTTTTGGGTGGCTCAGTTGGTTGAACATCTGCCTTTTGCTCAGGTCATGATCCCAGGGTCCTGGGATCGAGTCCCAGGTCAGGCTCCCTGCTTCAGCAGGGAGTCTGCTTCTCCCTCTGCCTGTGCCCCTCCCCCCATGGCTTGTGTATTCTCTCTGTCTCTCTCAAATAAATAAATAAAATCTTCTAAAAAAGAAAAACAGCATGAAGGCCGGGAGGGGAGAAATGGAAGGATATGGTTTGGAAGCATATGGTTCTAAGGTTCTTGTTTAAACAGGAAATCACATACTACCACCTCAAGGTAGACTTGATTAGTTAAAGTTGTGTACCATAAACCCTAAAATAGGCATATTTAATAAACCAATAAATGAGATAAAAGAATCATAAAAAATAATCTGATTACTTTGAAAGAAGGTAGGAACAGAGAAAAGGGGAAATAAAATACAGATAAGTCAAGGAGAAAGCTAATAGCAAAACAATCTTCTCAAACTTAATTACATTAACAACCACAATAAATATAAATGGTCTAAGTATGCCTAGAACAGTCAGAGTGATTTTGAAAAAGAAGAATAAAGTTGGAAGGCTAACATTACCTAATTTCAATATTTATTTAAAAAGCTTCAGTAACCAAATAATGTGATATTGGTGTAAAAAAGGAGAAAGAGATCAATAGAACAGAACATGTATTTCAGAAATAAACTGACATTATCTATGGCCAACTGATTTTTGACGAAAGTGCAAGGGCAATGCAGTGGAAAGATAAGACTTAAAACAAATGGTGCTTCGCCAACTGGGCATCCACACACAAAACAACTTTGTACCTATCCTCCATACTATATAAAAAAACTCTCCCCCAATGGATCATAGACTTAAATGCAAAACCCAAAACTACAGAACTTTTAGAAGAAAACAGGAGAAAAATCTTTGTGGCTGTTGGTTAGGCCCTGGTTTCTTAGCTATGGCCCCCAAAGCACAATTTATAAAAGAACCATCAATAAATCAGACTTCATCAAAATAAAAAACATCCAATCTTTCAAGAAGACCATTAAGAGAATAAAAGTAAGCCATAATCTTGGAAAAAATGTTTGCAAAACAGATATTTGGCAAAGGACTTACGCCCAGAATATATAAAGAACTCTCAAAACTTGACAAGAAAACAACCTGATTAAGAAGAAAATATGAGAATGGGCTTCATAATATCCTAAGTTTTAATAGTTCCTTTATATCATGGTCAGAAGGTATTTATATTTCATTCATCCAGAAGACCCTCACTGTTGAGAGCGAATAGATTTCCTTCCCCTGGCCCCCTTGATGCTAACCTGCTCTTAGTAGTTCTCCCTCCACTCCCTCACATTTCTGGATGTCTATATGTCCCCACTTGTCCTCCTCGTATATTACCCTGACCTCAATCTCTCTCCCTTAAAGCAACAGGCATGAGGAAGAGCCTCCTGGCCACGTCTGCAGCAAGCGCCTGCTGCAATTTTTCTCTTTAACAAGCTTCCGAAGGGTCTGGAGCTCACCTCCCCAGGGACAGCCCCGTGGTGGCCTGGCTACACCTTTGTACCCACCAGCCTCCCACTTAGCCTTCCTCCTAGGTTCTTTTTTTGTTTTCATTTCTTTTCTTTCTTTCTTTCTTTTTTTTTTTTTTTAAAGATTTTAATTATTTATATGACAGAGACAGACACAGCGAGAGAGGGAACCCAAGCAGGGGGAGAGGCAGAGGGAGAAGCAGGCTTCCCACTGAATGGGGAGCCCAATGCGGGGCTTGATCCCAGGGCCCTGGGATCGTGACCTGAGCCGAAGGCAGACACTTAACGACTGAGCCGCCCAGGCGCCCCTTGTTTCCTTTTCCTTAAATCACCCATTCGCAAGAGTTCATACAACATGAATAGTAGTGATATTGCATGAACCAACTCCCTGAACTAAGAAAACGCATAATCGCAGCACACCGGACACTCCCTGTACCCTCCCCCATCCCCTTCCTCCTGTTACCGCTCCCCCCACCGAGGGTCCCTCCATCCTGAGGCTCTGAGAACCACGTTCTTGTTCTTCTTGATGGTTTTACCACCTACTTTAAGCCACACACGGCTTCCTGCTGCCTGATTCGGAACTTCATGTAAATGGGACCACACCACACATTTCTTCTGTGCCTTGACTCTGTTTCGCCACTATGGTGTTTTAGGTCTCAGTGCCTAGATTCCCACTCCTAAAGAGGATCCTGCCCCATGAGCATCCTGCTACCTACAAATGCATCCACCATCCCCACGCACTTGTATCAATTCTGGATTTTGCTCTCATAAACAACACCGTTATGAAGGTGGCTCTCGGCGGGTCCCCGTAGGAGTGTCTGAGTGGTTCTCAAACCTGACCACAGACAGGATCACCTGGAGCGCCGGTTGAAGGTTGAAACACAGCCGGTAGGCCCCACCCCTGGAGCTCCTAGTTCTTTAGGTCTGGGGAAGAGGGATGCTTCTGGATGATATGATATCTACATTTCAAACACATTTGCATTTCAGACTTCCCAGGCCTTGTTGAGGATGCTGGTGTGGGGGCCACACGTTGAGAACCAAGGTCTCCAGCCAGAAACGGAATTACTGGATTACAAGACACGCACATTCAAGGTGACCGAGAAAGGCCAAGCTCCAGCCAAGCATGAGGGTGTGGGTGGGGTGAGTTCCTACTGCCCCACAGGCTGCTGGTTACAGTCCAGCAAGGGACGGGATACTGGGGACCTTCTTATCTTTCTACGTCCTTTTATGTGGCTTTCAATATTGTTTCAGATATTGTTTAGCATTGATTATGAAGATGGGTTCAACCAGAAAGAGAGTAATGATCCATGACCTTGGGCCCAGAGCCCAGGCCAGTTCCTAAGGGAGCCCGTCAGCATTCAGCATTTCCCCTGGCTTCCCAGGCTGAAAGTGCATCCCAGGAACCAGTGTCGGCCAAGGCAAAGTGTCAACACCACGCTGGGCTGCCACAGGGGCCCCGGCCAAACAGAGGAGGGATAGCGCTGGCAAGCATGGTGGGAGAGACAGGAGGCAGCATCTCGGGGGTCTACAAGGACAACCCCCAGCACAGCTCCTGTCCACACAGACAGAGGTGCTCAGGCAGCAACTTACCGTGTCTGGATTTTTCTCTGCCTTATCGGCAAGTCCATTCAGTATCAGACCAGGGTCTGAGTCAGTGATTTTTCCTGTAGAATTAACCATCTTCTTCCTCTATCAGTGCAACCTACAATCAAGCACATGAGGGTTAACACAATTCCGAAGCCAGCACCTTCAATCCTGAACCACACCACTAGACACACTGGGGGCTCCTCAACTCTGCAGGGACTGGGGAAAAATGACAAAGAGCCAAATGACGGATGGGAACACACCTGCCTGCTGGCTCAACTGTCTTTAGGAATGTGCTCTCAGACCCCTCAAGAGTCCTTCCAGCTAGGTATTTCCTGTTACAATTTTAGGTTGAACACTAAAAATTTTTTTGCCACACATTTAAATAGTGGCAAAGGATGAAATGATGGATGTGTTTTTAAGATTCACATGTAGGGGTGCCTGGGTGGCTCAGTGGGTTAAAGCCTCTGCCTTTGGCTCAGGTCATGATCCCAGGGTCCTGGGATCAAGCCCCGCATAGAGCCCCGCATAGAGCCCCGCATCAGTCTCTGCTCAACGAGCCCCGCATCAAGCCCGGCACTGAGCCCTGCATCTGGCTCTCTGCTCAGCAGGGAGCCTGCTTCTCCCCGCCTCCCCCGCACCTGCCTCATTGCCTACTTGTGATCTCTGTCTGTCAAATAAATAATAAATAAAATCTTAAAAAAAAAAAAGATTCACATGCAGGGGCCCCTGGGTGGCTCAGTGGGTTAAGCATCTGCCTTTGGCTCGGGTCATGATTCCAGGGTCCAGGCTCCCTGCCTAGCAGGGAGCCTGCTTCTCCTTCCCTTTGCCCCCTCCTCCCCACCCCTGCAGTATAGGTGCACACATGTGCGTAGTCTCTCTCTCAAATAAATAATAAAATCTTTAAAAAAAATAAAATGAACTAAAATTCACATGCAAAAGTAAAATTATTATAATACCACTCCCAATGGAGCTGCGAGATTCTGAAAATTGGAGAAATTTGACAGTTGAAAAAAAAAACAAACACTTGAACTTGAAGTTCTTTCATTCTGTCCTCTTTGCTCCCGATTTCATGTTTTTATTCCATTTCTCCCATATGAGTGTATCTTAAGGTCCTTTACTTTATTCTATTTTTTTCCAGTTTTATTGAGAAATAATTGACACCGATCATTGTGTAAGTTTCAGGTGTAAAACATGATGGTTTGATTTACGTATTTTGTGTATTTTGAACCTATTCTGATTACCACAATAGGTTCGGCTAACGTCCGCCTTCTCATATAGATACGGAACAGATACAACATCATTTTGTTTGGAAATAAGTTAATCAACCACTTCAGCATACTCGTCTGTATCCAAAAAACACATACATATGTAATTTGGAATTCATTTTTTAAAATGTCTGGGACCACAAGTCTCTAAATATTACATTTTCTATACCTAATAACCTCAGATAAAAGTAAGTGAACATTTTTCCATAACTTGAAATAAATGTTATAAAAAATAAAAAGCACCTGCTTACCTCCAATACACCTTCCTTTTAACTTGACGACGTATCGCTGACTAGTTGAGGCAGAAATGCAGAGTCGTTCTCCCACACCTCCTTGAAATCATGCAAATTGTACAAATTAGACCACAAATGGGTGAAAAAACATGAGTGCTCATCAAGGGAAGGTCCCCTTGCAGAGAACAGTGCACAGGGAACGCGCGTTGAAGCAAGACCACAGTTCTCAGAATCCTTTTGGTAAATCTTAAATATTTTAGTTCTAAGATAGATGGATAAGGCAGAGAGCCTTACTGTAAATTTACTGCCTAAATCAATGATTTTTTTTTTAAAAGATTTTATTTATTTGACAGAGATATAGAGACAAGAGCACAAGTAGGCAGAGAGGCAGGCAGAGGGAGAGGGAGAAGTTGGCTCTCCATTAAGCAGGGAGCCTGATTCAAGACTCAATCCCAGGACCCTGCTGGGATCATGACCTGAGCCGAAGGTAGCCGCTTAACCGACTGAGCCATCCAGGCGCCCCTGAATCGTGACTTTTTTTCTGATGCTCTCTGTGCTTTTCTTCACGAGACCCTTGCCTGAGAGCTCTGCAGTCTTCCTTTAATTTGGGGGTAGTTGAGGGGCGTCTGGAAGGTGCAGTCAGTTGGGTGACCAGCTCTTGGCTTCTGCTTGGGTCGTGATCTCGGGGTAGGGAGATTGAGCCCCCAGTTGGGCTCCGCAGCCAGTGCGTGGGGTCTACTTGAGATTCTCTCTGCCCCTCCTGCTCATGCTCTTGCTCTCAAATTAACAAATATAAATAAATAAATAAATAAATAAATAAATAAATAAATATTGGGGCAGTTGAGAGAACCAGGGAGAGAGGGGATGTGTTCCTTTTATCACAACTCGGGGAAAGGTTTTTTGGAAAGTAGTCAATTGCAAAGAGTACTTATGGAATAGAGCAATCTGGAAATTTATTTCCTTACCCCCTTCCTCTCCTACCATGCCTTTGGAAATGCTTTGCGTGCTCAGCAGGTCCCAGATTGGGGCCCCAGGCTGAAGACCGCAGCTGCCTCAGTTGGCCCTCATGCACCCAGAGAGTTGGCATCGGTGATCCCCAGGGCTTGCCCTGCCATGACCATGGGTTCAAATTTGGTGAATAGAGGATTTTGTGAATATATCCCCCTCCTCTGTGTCATAGGATGACAATTCCTTGAACTCCAAGTCTTATCTGCACCTCTTAGATGTTTGCGCCCTTCCAGAGGTCATCTCTGAAGATCAGTTTGGATCTCAGGAGCAGGGCGATCTCAGGAATTAAAGCCCGTTTCTTACTACCCACCACACTCAGCATCCCGCTACAGCTGTCAGACTGAGCCGAATGCGTTCACCCATTTGGGCCTTGATGGAGTCAAGCTCTCAGCCCCAAACCGCTCATAAAATGTCTTGTGTTTACAGACAAGACTTCGGGGCGTTCTGAGGTAGACACGCCACCCCCACACCTCTGTCCACACTCATCTTCTTCACCCTCTAACAGCCAGGACACCTCTTCTCTCACTGCCAGGGTTTGGGGCAGGAAGTGGAGAAACGCACTAGGGCAGGTCTGTCAACACTCCACGTCCGCTGTTCACGGAGGCGGCTGTCCGCTGCCCCCGGCACTTTGGGTTCCAGAGAGTAGAAGTTTGCCAGCGGCTTCCAGACCTGGACACCATCCCCCAGCAAGGTCATTGGGGAATCTCTGCAGTAGGGAGTGGGGGTGGCCTCCAGGGGTGCCCAGTGTGTCACTCCACTTGTGGGAAAGCCTCTTATTAGGGTCCAATCTCTAATAAGAACCACCAGGGCCGCCCGGGTGGCTCAGTGGGTTAAGCCTCTGCCTTCAGCTCAGGTCATGATCCCAGGGTCCTGGGATCGAGCCCCATATCGGGTTCTCTGCTCAGCAGGAAGCCTGCTCCCTCCCCCCTCCAACGCCTGCCTCTCTGCCTACTTGTGATCTCTGTCAAATAAATAAATAAAACCTTAAAAAAAAAAAGAACCACCTACCAATGCATCCTGCTGAATGCCTGATCCAAAGTCTGAAACTTGCCCAACAAAATTAAGTCCAGTTTTAAAAATAATCTTGGCAGAACTTAAATTTACTTTTTTTCTTGAGAGCGTTCTGCTTCCGAAAACCCACAGACATTAATTTTATTTATTTATTTATTTATTTTATGATGGAAGGGGAGAATATCTAGTACATTAGACCTGATATTCTCTACCTAACTATGCTGAGCTCAGTGCCGGGAGGTGGGGGGAGGGAAGCCAGGAAGAAAATGGCGAGGGGGATGCTGTGCAGACGACAGGGGTGGCTGGCCATCCTGGCCCGCAGCTCTGCTCCAAAGTGGAAAGCTGACACAGTTAGACATTTTAGGAGCCGTTTGGGAGTGAGAGCTGGGGGCTAGCATCACTTGACCCTGCTTCTGACAAAAATCCGACTTAAAATTTGACCAGGTAATTCCGGGAATCCCACATGCACAGCTCAGCGGTCGTCTCTGGTGGGGAGTGCAGGTCTCAGAGCCTGGTTCCCTCTGTTAGGCCCCAAGACTGTCGTACCTTCCTCCATCCCCGAAAATTAGCAGGTCCCCACCCCCTCAGGCCGACCCCACTGCACAAGCCACAGCAAAGGGAGACCCTGGGCAACCTTCCACCCCCTGGGTTGGGGGTACGCTGGGCAGGGCACCTCGCCAGAAGCCTCGGTCCTCCCACCTGCCCCTCGGGCCCCCTGCGCGGTCGGCTGCTCAGAACGCCCTCTAGCGCGGACCCTCCACTTAGCCTCCCCGGGGCCCGCAGGTTAGCGCAGACCCTCGTCTACGCAATTCCACTGTTGTCTTGCCTGGTTTGCCCTCCTTAGCAACGTAAAAAGTAACAAAATTAACACCTCACTTAAGTAGTGGGAGGCCAGAAGGAGTCTGTACCATTCATTCCTCCTCAGTCATCCCCAGGACTGTCAATTACACACCCCAACAGAAGAGAATCAATTCCGGGCCCAGCCAGGGAAGGCTGCTCACTGCGTCTCCCACATGAGATCGGCCACTCCTGCAACCCGGCCAACAGGAGCCTGCCACCACCCTGAAACCCTTGCATTTCTCCAGGGGACCTGGGGTCCAACAGCCCCTCCCAACCCCCCGTCCAGAAAACAACGTTCCTGTCCTTTTGTTGGTGGGACGTGTCTGCGCTTTGGCCAGAGCCTGCGTGTCCCGGATTGCAGATCTCGGCCATTCCCCCAATAAACCCACTGTCGCTGGCAAAATAACCGCTTATTTTGAGGGTTAATGGCAGGAAATATAAAAGGATCCAAGCGGTGGTCCTCCTTTGAGGTGGGCTTGCAGGCCCCGCAGCGGTGGATGTGAAACTTTCTTAGTGCGCACCCCTTGACTAGCTCCCTGGGAGACCCCCTTGGCCGCCATCCCCTCCGCCTGCCCACCTACGCCAGCAGAAAAGCCCCCAGGTTTGGGCGGGTGGCAGTGGGGCGGGGGGGGGCGTTTCTGATGAGTCATCAGGAGGCTTAGCAACCTGTTTGCTGGCGAGAAGCAGAAGCAGGCGTGCTTGAGCCCAGCCCGCTCCTCCATCACTGCCATCATCAGCACCATCAGCGTGACCAGCTTCTGCAATCCACCCCCCCCCCGCCCCCTAGGGCGCTGGTCCCCGCAGCCATGCCCCCTCCACCCCCACCCCTCCCCCAGCTCGCTGGAAGGTGCGGGGACCCAGAGGTGCCCGACGCAGGAGAGCGACACTCACCGGTCCCCGCGCAGCCGCGAGTGCCCCCGGCAGCCCCTCCGCTTTTATGCAGCGCCAGGCGCCGCCCCTCACGCCCGCCCACACCCCCCCCCCCGCCGCCGCCGCCGCCGCCGCCGCCGCCGCGGAAAAATGAAACTCCCCTGGAAGCGAGGGAGGGGGGCCGGCGCGGCGCAGAAACGAAACCGAAAGGCCCACCCCGCCCCCGCACGGCCTTCCCTTGACCGCCAGGTGCTTGTCCATCAGGGTCCCCCTGCGGCCTCTGCGTGGCGCCCCGGTTGCGCTCCAGCCCATTCCCGGCTCGGGCCCTCGCATCCCTGGGAACTGGAGGGAAATGCAGATTCTGGGGCCACGACCTGCGGAATCAGAAACTCAGGTGCGGGGCCTCGGAAGCCAGTTTGAGAACTGCTGCCTTATGAGCCTTGAGCCATCCAGAGCCGAAGGCAGCCGTGAACCTGGGCAGTCCCTTAATGTCTGGGCTTCGAGCAGGTGCACTGATCACTGGGGATCTTGAATTCCTGCTAGCGGTTCCTCTGGATCGGTCCCGCACCTGCAGGGGTTTGCACGCATCCTACGTCAGTGACCCACACCTGCCCCCCCCCAACACTGCTCTCCCAGCCAACTTCCCCTCCCCATGCAGAAAGCTCTTATCCTTACAAATAAAAAAAATAAAAAAAAATATTTCACCACCACAGGATGGGTTTATTTGGGAACAGCAGAAAAATTGTAAATCGGGACAAGCAAGCTACAGCAAAACCACAGGCAAGTGCAACAGACGAGGGGAACATTATGTTGTGGAGAAGATGGAGGGAGCTGGATGGGGTGGTTTTGAACAGAAGTCTGCTGGAGAAAGGCAAGCATTGGGCTGATTGAGGTTTCTGGCTGGCTGAGTTGTAGGGGTGGCCAATGGCTGGTGGGGGATGCAGTGCCCCCTTACCTGTTGGGCCATGACAGATGGTTCTCACTTGCTGCAGACTCTCCCACAGGGTCTGTGATTCATGACCATTCCTGTCATCGACTCCCAGTGGCACGGCTCCTCTACTGGCCTCCCCACCCAGCATCTGGAATCCACTTCCGTGAGCTTCTCTTTATTAATTTTCACTAGACCCGCATCTACCTCCCGGCCCACCTCAAGTCCTCTTTTGAGTTGGGCGCATCTGATTTCTCCAGGATGGAGATGGATGGAAGCAAGAGGTTGAGGGCAAGCAGGCCCAAGGGTGGCCCTCTGTGGGTGGGGAGTACCATTCCCCTTTGGAAGAGGCGGGCCCCTGCCTCCATGCTCCTTAGCTCGGCTCAGAGTTGCAGACAACAAGCTCCCCACAGACCGTGTTAGGAAGGGTCACTCCCAGTCCACTCACAGGCCCAGAACCCACCTCAGCT